CACTTAAACATTCTCCCTCTCCTGATAATAACATTTTACTTTATTTGACATTGAATGCACTGCTACTAGTTTACCCGTTTAATTATAGATCCACTAGGATAAATACAATAAAGTTTATCCCCCCATTTATCTCATAATTTTTCTGACTCATACAATCTCACACCCCATCTAGATGTCTTCCCATCATATACATTCTGCTTTTAGTCCGTACAGCATCTACTGTGTATTTAACAAACCGGCGGCAGAACTCAGCTTGAGTGGGAACTTGTGACTTTGATGCTAGAGAGGAAGAGTCGATGAACCATGACGAATACAAAACATCTCCATCAGATCGTCTTAAGGAGTGAACCTCTGATGCTATCTGTATATATATATATATATATATATATATATATATATATATATATATATATATATATATATATATATGTAGTTATAGGAAAACATTGTTACAGCTTTATCACATACAATTCTAAAACACTTGAAATGCAAGGAAACATCTCACCTGTGAAGGATCCGAATAATCGTCTTCCTCGCTCCTGTCTGATTGGCTGCTCGGGGCTCCCCTGTCAGGTGATAAGGGTCGGTAGCCAATGAGAGGCACATCAGTTGAATCCACCCCTGGCAGGTCAAAACCACCGGTTCGCAGGTGACGGTGGAGCATGGTTCTAGCTACTGCAAAGTAGCAAATAAAGAACATCAGGCATTCAGTCAATCATATCCATAGTCCGCTGTTTTTCTTTAGATCTTTAGACCCCACGAGAAAAATATTTTAGGATCAAAATCTCCACAAAGACAAAAAAGTGGATCTCAGCCTTATGAGTGTGCACCAAAACAAATTCCTCATTTGTATAATTTGGTAAAGAAACCTGATTCAGATTTATTTTTAGGCTATAAAATGAAATGTCAGAATCTGTGTCCCATCATGGAGACAAAACAAGGACAGATCTGATAGCTTTTTTTTATTTTTAGCTTCTTTGTCATGTGTTTTTGCTGACTTAGCCTGGGTTTGATGCTTTTAAAATGTCAATATTCAGCTAGCTGAATATATGCTTCTGCGATGAAACTAATCTAAGAATTTGCTGAAATTAAATGTATATTTGAAGAGGAACCAAAACGTTACTGTGAACGAACGACTGATTGGAAACTCAAAAATCTTTGTTTTGGTTCACAAACACAGTTTCCAACCAGCTGGTTAAAAAGATGTCACTTTTGCTAATGCTAAATGCTAACGGATGCTAGAAATAACACATTTACTATGCATTGGTTTTAAATGCAGAATTTGCAAGTGAATTATTTTTTAAATGACATGTTAAAGTTGCAATATGTGTTTTTCTTGCTGTTCAACCAGGCATGGACGTAATTTGGGGGGGAGGGGGGGGGGGGGGACATATCCCCCCCACTTTTCCCAAAGTCAAGTTTTGACCCCTGCAATTTTTACCATCCAAAAACAATATTACGCTATATTAAACGGACACTGGTTGAGCTCTAGGACCAAGCAGAAAACAACCATTTGTGTTGAAGCCTGTTTCCCATTAGAGCATACTGTAAAAATCCCCCCCGTCCCCCCCACTTCTAAAGTGAAAATTATGTCCATGCAACCAGGCAATGTTTTGAATGAACAAATTTCTATGGTCCAACACCATGTCCAACACCCTTTTTTCTTCTAAAGGAAGGATTTTAAGTTCAGTGAACTTACAACCATTTTCCCTCTGTTTTCTCCGTGTCTGGTTCGATGACGTCACCTTTGTGATGCGCATTTGTAGTCCTGCACTTATTTTCACACAAAACCTAAAATAACATTTATCCCCCTTCAAAAATAAGCGCATTCTTGGTATCAAAATGTGTATTTAAAATTCACGGACATCATATGTGCAATCCACTGAACATAACAAGCAGAATTAGAAAATAGTGTTTTTTAGCTCCACTGACTTGCATTCTTTTTTTGCTTCTTCCGGGGACCCATGGTCTGGAAGTAGATGGGCGTGACCTAGGCTCCCAGAGACATGAGAGACATGTGCAGAGGGGGGAAGGACAGCCAGGGCAATGTGATGGATGGATCAGGATCCAATCATTAAGAATGGGGCCATCACAATGATTACATAAGGTCTTTCCAGGATTGACTGTTTCAGAGACGATTCAAATTATTCCTTTTGTTGACAAAACATTTAATTTATTGGATGCCATTAGTATGTGAAGAGCAATTTGAGCAATATGGCAAAAAGATTCTCCTGAAAAACACTCCTTAACCTCATGTTTGACTCTAGTTCTCTAAAACCACTCATCACTGGTTTCAGTGGGTCTGAGTGGTACAGAGATCAGAAATTGGTATTTACTAAATAAATTTTTATTCTCATGAAAGATTCAAACAAACATTTTGCCTTCCTGAACGTCTATCGTTTAACAAAAAGCTTCAGTTTAAAGGTCTGATAAGGAAGTAACTCATTGTTTAAGTTTGTTAAACCTGATCATTTGCGTGGTTTTGAACTACTCGCATGTTTTCTTGAAATGAAACAACAACAGGACAGCTGATGGTAAGCTGGAGGCATTGCTTCATTTGTTTAACACATTCTCTGTGCCAGAAAGCAGGCCTGGATTTGCATAGCAACCTTTCCTACCATTTCCCTTTCCCCTCTTTGGTATGTACAGTCAAGATAAGCATCAAACAAACAGCTTGAAGAAGAGCTGTGGTTTAAGATGGATGCAGGCTCTTAGACAGCAATGCTAACCTGGAGCATTTTAATTTAAGCAGTGTGCGTTCCTGTTTATTTCAATCTGAGATCATGTATGCTGCTGAACCTACAGAGTGTGTGGATGACCTTTATATAAAGCAGCTGAAGCAATGTCCCTGCTTTCTTCTCTTTTTGAACAGATTTGTGCAACACTTTTTCTTGCATAATACTGCTTGTTGTAGAGAATCTGCTCACTTTGTCTAAAGAACAAGTTTGCATGGAAGAGAGAGAAGGAAAACAAGCAGGCTGCAGGGGAAACAGGGCACTAACAGTGCAGCATGTGCTCTGACCAACGGCTGTGCAGAAGTCTGAAAGGCTGCTATTCAAAGGCTCTGACCACAAACAGACCATACATGTCTGAGGCACACACACGTTTGGCTTGCTACGCTTGTGGGGACCAGTCATTGACTTCCATTCATTTTAGTGGCTGCATTATAGGCATACAGAGGCATTGTGCAGAGGTTATGTCATTACCATTACGAATTCCTAACCTTAACCCCAATGAAAAGTGAATTCAAACCAAACCTTTAAAACCACACACACACACACACACACACACACACACACACACACACACACACACACACACACACACACACACACACACACACACACACACACACACACACACACAGCATTTTTGTGCTAGATGACAGCAGCTCGGCTTGGTGTGGATGTCTCAGATGAAAATATGAGGCAGTAAAAGTTTGTATGTGACGCTGGGAGGAGTGACCCGTGTTGGTTCCTGCTGTGAATCATGATGACGAGCAGGAACAGTATAAAAATAAAATACAGATAAACCAAACAGACCCAAACCCTCCTCATTCGGACTTACTCTGAGATCAGTGGGCTTTCCGGATCTGGATCAAAGGCAGCATCGATTTGGTTGTGGGTGCGATAGCTTCGGGCTCAGCTGGAGGAAGTCGCACCCATCTGTGCCACCGTCACACCACCACCAACAACAACGAGGGAGTCTCCGTCCACAGCCTCGCCTCTCCTCGCCACCACCTCTGAGGTCTCCCCCTCTATCAGCGGCCCCACACTGCTGCTCCGTCCAGCCTTCAGCAGCTGATAGCGCACTTTGTTGTCCCTCCCTCCCCACTGCTGCTCCAAACGTCGCAGTTCCTGTCTGCTGCGCGCAAGGTGTCTTTGGCAACAGATCCGGGTCTATGGGTGGCTCACGGTCCCGGAGCAGCTCCTACACCATCAACTGCGGACGTACGGCGTGGAGACAGCGCGGAAGGACGCGTTCTACGCACGGCCGGCTCGCACGCACGCCTCACGCACATTTATTACACTTTTTGGTGTGTTGTCACAACAAACACATTCAGGAACTTGAACTTGATCTGAACACGAGCGCATGTTTAGGGTCTTTAAAGCTTTTTAAATTCATTTTTTTAACTAAAAAACGAATTAAGGTTTTATGATTCAATCATTGGTGGAATTCAAAAGTAAAGTGTTCTAAATGTCACCTAAAACTCCGACGTTTTAATGTTCCTACATTTGGAAAATAAGAAAAACGGATGAATTGTTCTAAGAAGTCTATGGTTCCAGACAAACTGGAACTACCATTTATTTCATTATAGTGCTTTCAGGTCCTAACTTCTTTCACTCCCATTTTCTTCCTCGGCATCACATAATGACGTCACAAATTGCCCATTAGTCTGGTTCTAAACCCATGAGCATGATGTTCTTCTCATCTGTGTTCAGAATGTTTGACCAAATGAACCAAAACATGTTGAGAACATAAAACCTTCTGTAAATGAGGCATCAGAATAGTGAGATATGTCCTGTCCGATTAAAATATCCAATTAAGGTTCTAAAGTGTATTTGGTTCCTGGAAAACCACTCCCACCTACTGCATCCCACTGTGGAGGCCATAAACAGCTGCTTCAGTATAGCAAACTGAGACATCCAAGATGTAAAACAGAACTGTAGGTCATTCATCCCCACTGCAGAAAGAGTGTAATCCTAAGTTTAACTGGTGCTGGCATTATCCCGTTACAAGTAACAAGTATCAATGCAATAATAATGTACATTAAATGTCTGTGTCCCTTATGCCGCATAGTTCTGGAAACTAGTTTCATTTTTATTTGTTGTATTTAGTGGTTAAAGGTTACAATAATAGTTTACTGTCTTTGTGAGTTTACCTGTAATCTTGTTAGTATTTTCTTTTTCCTTTTCTTTAAGTGTATGTGCTACTGTAGCAAGTGAATTTCCCCATTATAGGATTAATAAAAACTCCTCTATTCTATTCTATTCTATTCTATTCGTTAGTCCCCAAAAAGTAAAGAGCAAGTCACCCCTTACCAGAGTCTTAATCCACTCCCACTTCCTGTTTGAAAAATGCAACACATGATGTTGCTTGGCGGACCAAGAGCGCAAAGCCGCTAACAAATACACACACAGGCTCGCAACAACATTGTGACATCATATGGTACCAGCTCACGTCATAGGGTACCTCTTAGCCAATAGCGATGGCAGATTTAAATTCTGCCATCGCATTGTGGGGCGTCGGTGGCACAGGAGTTAAGTGCTCACTCCATAATTGAAAGGTTGCAGGTTCGAGCCCCGCTCAGACTGTCGCTGTCGTTGTGTCCTCCTTGGGCAAGACACTTAACCCACATTGCCTGTTGGTGGTGGTCAGAGTGACCGGTGGCGCCAGTGCTCGGCAGCCTCGCCCCTGTCAGTGCGCCCCAGGGCAGCTGTGGCTACATCGTAGCTCATCCCCACCAGTGTGTGAATGTGTGTGTGAATGGGTGAATGACTGATTGTGTTGTAAAGCGCCTTGAGGGGTTCCAGGACTCTAGAAGGCGCTATATCATACAGGCAATTTACCATTTAACTAAATCAAATGCAGTGCAGACTTTTTACCAGAAGAGAGCGCAACACTGACAGTTTTAGGCAGAACATTTTAACTAAAATGCACTAAAGTGCCAAAATGTTGGCTACGTGTGTACATCATGATTAGATACTCATTATTATAGTTTTTCTGCAAAAAAAATTTTGGGGGGTGATGACAGATGTGAGTCATAAAGAATCAGCATCAGAAACCACGTTTAATGTTTATTTTGATCAATATAAATAATATTTCTGTTTTTGTCTCTTGGTAACAATTGCAGCACTAAAATCAGATCAACTCTCATCCTGATCTCAGCTTTTAAAAACCACTGATCTCAGGGCAGTTTTAGAGTCAACATCATCAAAACCCGTTTTTGGTGTCTCTTGGTAAGTCTATTTTCCTGACAACCACACAAGCGTGATTTATGATTGTCTGACACTTTCAAATCTTCTCTGATTCTCCAGCTGCAGTGTTTCCAACAGACTTCCTTGTGTTTGCGCGCCATCTAGTGATCACTTACTGAAAATAACACTTCACCTTCTTTTGAAGAAATATTTACCAGAGGCCATTTTGAACCAGCGGTGTTACCGTGCTCGTGTCTGACTGGTGAAATAAACACACGAACAATCTGGGATTTGTCAGAACTAACCAGTAAGCACGTAAGTGAGCTAATGTAATATTTTAGGGTCTTTTATTAAGTACTTCTCATTTTATTTGAAGTTAACTCATGTTGTTGGATAACTTGATTTATATCGGTATAGTTTCATATTTTGAGAAAATGTTGAAGCAAGTGTGCAGGAGTTCCTCATGATGAGTAAAACGAAACTTTTCAGAATCAGTTGTATACCGCTGATGTCCTTAAATGACCTGTGAAAGAAGAGTAAAGTTCATGTCAGCAGAGACTAAAATTACAAGACCTTTTAAAGTGTTCTGCTGTTAAACTTTTCTCCACCGGTCTCCTAAACTTGTCGAAGACCAATCAACGAGGCGGGAAAATACACTAATTGGCTGCTTAATTGGCCGCTGTTACGCGCGCTTCCACCGAGGCTGTGGTGCCCTCCTGCTGCCCTTAGAGCTCAGGCATCACTGTATTGTCACAACTGTTTACCGGTCATGCTCTCAGACGATAAGGACCCCCCCTCCTCGGTCGGATATGTCGGTGTTTTATGTCTGCGTCACAACAAGTCGGCGGAGAGCGAGCGGGAGGGATGATGGCGTCTCTGGCGGCTTGATTCCGGCGCAGCTTTGACAAACCCGCACCGTATTAGTAGCTGGGGGGGGGGGGGGATGGGGGACGGAGGGGGAGCAACAGCGACGGGAACATGACGAAACGGCATCGCGGAGGACGGACAAACTAGACTGAAAGACGGACAGTCGCCTTTGTCCTCCTCCTCTTCCTCCTCCTCCCCCTCGCTGACGGCTTGACTGACACACTGGCGCCTGGCAGAGACACAGAATACATGCACATCTTCTACTTTTCTGTTTCCTTTTCTTTTTTTTTTCTTTTCCACCAAAAGCTGCGCATCGCAGCAGGCAGGAATCTGGGCAGCAGGGATCCACGGCAGATGAGGGCATTTCCTGTCCAGGAATCACCGTGACCCCGACGGAAAGGAGTTCGACTTGACAGGTACCCTTCACCGGCCAGCTCACTGTCCAATTGGCTCCATCCTCCATCAGATGCTGCTCAGCATCCTGCATCTGCGTAGACCTGAGTGCATGCACCGGAACAAATGCAGTGTGGAAAAAGAACAGCGTCTGCAGTCATTTCACGCATCTGTTTAAGTTTTCTTAAAAACTGAGAAGGTGGCGACAGCAGCAAAGTCCACCGAGGATGCTTCAAGTGGCTGCACAGGGAGCTCTGCCTGTTCAGTGAAACTGTGTTGCAGTAACCATCATGCAGTGAGTGTGTGTGTATGTGAGTGTGTGTGTGTGTGTGTTTGATGTGTGCAGTAATCATTTATCTTCCTCTCTGGTTGTGTATACTCACTCTCATCCTTCACTGTGCTGGATACAGGCTGTATGCTCAGGTCTAAGGAGGAGGGGGGGGGGGGGGGGGGGGGCGTTTAGATTTGAACCCATTTGCACCAAAACCCGACTGTCTGAGAGGCAGTCAGAATGCCGGGGCTGTAAACCCCTCCGTCAGCAGCGGCGGCGGCAAAGTGTTCAGCAAATAAATCGGATTTCCATTTCACACGAGCCCTGCTCTCTCCTCTGTGTCTCTCCTCAGGATGGGGGGTGTCAGTGAGGGAGATGATGTGTTGGCTCGTTGGAGTGATGGACTACTGTACCTTGGCAATGTAAAACGGGTATGTGTGTGTGTGTGTGTGTGTGTGTGTGTGTGTGTATGTGTGTGTGTTGATCCAAAGCACTCTGATGATGATGTTTGGTGTCTGCTCTCCTCAGGTAGACGGAGTCAAGCAGTGTTGTCTGGTGAGATTTGAGGACAACTCTGAGTTCTGGGTTCTGAGGAAGGACATTCACTCGTGTAAGAAAAACTTTCTTTTCCCGTCAGCTGGAGGAGTTAGAAACTTCCCTGCGCCGAGAACTTTTCTGACTGAGCAACAGATTTCAGCAGCGAGTTTCCTGCAAGTCTCCAAATTATTTCAGGCCACGTTTAGGAAGATTTCCTGTTGCTGCTGCTGAAAACGTTTCTGAAAGCTATCATTAACATGCATGTTTTCCTTTTTCAGACTAATGGTTAGAATGTGGTCAGTGAAAGACTATTATTTTTTTACACTTTAATTTGAAGGATTTGGGCTTTCTTGTAAAGTTTTCTTCAGTTCTCTCCTCAGGTTTGATTCTTTTTTTGTCATTTTCTGGTCATAGCAGAATTTTAAGGTAAACATTTTTTTTCATTTGCTTTAAAATGAACACATTTGAGGCCAAAAGAAGTGTCCGAATTAAAGATGCGAGAAAAGTCAGGATGTCTCTAAAGAATCAGGGCCAGAGAGATCCATCATCCTTAAGCTCAATGGCTCTTTCAGCTTCACCTTGTTGGAGCGAAAATCCGCATCTGTACCTGTCAAACTGGGAACCTTTTACTGCCTTTTTAATAGATTCGGCTAAAAACGGAACATGTTGTGTATGTGACAGGCTTCGGGTAACGGCAGAGCTTAAAGAGCCAATTCAGAACTGGTTTTGTTTTGTGTTTACACAATTCTGGCTCTTCTCTTGGGAGCCTTTTTCACATCTGAATGACAGATCAGAGATTTACCTCAGCAAGTCAGGAACCTTTAGTGTCGAAGTCAAAGGGTTGTTACTATGGATGCACATTATATATCTGCATCAGGTCGGTATCAGTTTGATAAGTAAATCTGGGCCGATATTGGCAACAAATATTTCTTCCATCTTGTTTCTGTTTGTGTTTCAGTTTCAGAGGGTGAGAGTGATGTGTGACTGTTTAGTCATGTGACAATGATGCGTAAATGTGTGTGTATGTAATAACACACACACACACACACACACACACACACACACACACACACACACACACACACACACACACACACACACACACACACACACACACACACACATTGGTATCGGCCCAAAATTTCATATTGTGCATCCCTAGTTGTTACTTTATAATAAGAAATGCAGATACACTGCAGATCCAGCAGTGGTGCAAAGAACTGCAACACCCATAATGCATTGTGTAAATGAGCTATTATAGGCCTTTCTAAACACGAACACCCTATTTAGCATTTGGTTCTGAACTCAACCTGTAAATAACTCCCCAGAATGCTCAGCAGTTTCCAAGAAGAATAACAACAACAGTAACAATAACAACAACAACAACAATAATAATTACAATCAGGTGAAGCTTTTCCTAAAACAGCCTACTTTCAAATTTTCTGTCCATTTTTTGACTATAAAATTGACACTCCCTCGTTATTTATTTCCTAAGTTTCTAATAAAGAAGCTTAATGAACCATTAAAGGACATTCCCAAATGTGGTTGGAAAAGCAGCTGAAGTTCAAAAATGACTTTGGAAAACTTCTGAACAGGACCTATTTTTTAAACAAGGCCTTTTTATTCAAGTTTTAACAGTAGATTTTAAACTTACCAAACTATACGGGACTAAACCCATCGTCCCCACCCACAAAGGAAATAACAGAAACAAACTATAAAGACACACTATCAAATTAAGACAGAAATGGAACAAAACCAGATCCACTACAAGGATGTTTTAAAACAGATTACAATATAGCCTGAGTGCTTGGAAATAAAGAAATAAACAACAAGACTTGAGACTTTTGCACAGTTCTGTTGAAAAACCACAATTTTTGACATTTTATGAAATAAAACTTTAGCTTATCCGCTGTTTGGTTGGACCTCACATGTGCAGTCTTTAGTTATTATGAAACCTGATATAGTCTTGAATATAAATCCCATCAAGATTACTTCTAGGCTTCAAAATAGTTTACTTTCAGACTTAAGCCCTGTCCACACGTAGCCGGGGATCTGCCAAAACGTAGATATTTTCTACGTTTTGGCCTGTCATCCACATGAAAACGGAGTTTTTTCACACGAAAACGGATCTTTTTAAAATCTCTGGCTAAAGTGAAGATCTGGGTTTTCTCCGTTTTGGGTGTCTGCGTGTGGACAGACAAAACCGGAGTTTCAAGGTCCGCAACGTCACTTTCCGCGGCAAAAAATGTTGACATCACGTGTGCGACCTGTGTTTACACTAGCCGACAGCATGGAAGCCCTCGAAGCTGCGCTCTGTCACTACCCGATCCATCAATTGTCCAAGCGCTTTCTGCTTGTTTGTTTTTGCAAGCGGAATTACTGCTCCTTGCGGAAGACCACAGACGAAGGACGAGGTTAAGAACGGGGGAAGTACTGCCGCCTACAGGTCTGGCATGTCCTTAACAACGCATTTATCCGGGTACGTGTAGACAGAGTTTTGTTTTAAAACGTGGTGGTGTGGATGCAAGTTTTTGGAGGGGCGGATATTTGTTTTTAAAAAACCCCGGCTACGTGTGGACTAGGCCTTAGAGAAAGCAAAAAAATGCATCTAACCATCTGCTTCAAAAGGATTATTTCAACCCAAAATGCATCTTTTCTGACCTTTCTGACCTCAGATGCTCAAAGGATGTTAGCTCTTATTTTCCTGTTTTAAGTTACAATAATTTGATTCTTTTTAGCTCCAAGATCTCTTGGCTGTCCTGGAAAGTGCAGAAATAAAAATGATTGGGATGTTTTAAAGGCACGAGGCTCTTATGAATGTGGCAGATTAATGACCCCATAGGGCGACGTCTCCCCTGATCCACCTGACATGGAGTCAGAGGGGACGTTGGACACTTGTTAGGACAGGTTGAACATCAGCACGTCCAATGAAGTAAAGTCTGAAAGGGTGCAGGAGACACTGAAATCAATGAGGTGGCAGTGATGTGAATCAATATACATAAATTAATACAGCTGACTGCTTCGTCTCTGACTTCCTCTCTCACATCCCCCCCCCCCCCCCCCTCTCTCTGTGTCTCAGTCTCTGCCGGGGTGGAAGAAGTTTGCTGTATCTGCGACGCTCCGCCTCTTAAAGAGCCCCTCATAAATTGTCTTAAATGTCGCCACGGTAAGGAAGCGCCCTTTATCACACGCACTGTCAAACGCTGCTTCTCCGTCATTCCTGTTGTGACCTTGAAGATTTGACACAATATGGTAAATAAGAAGGCAGAACGCCACACATCATAAATGATCTATGAGCTGTCGCATCTGCAGCCCGACTGAAGTGAAAATAAACGAGATGTTGCTGAACAAAACCTACATTATACACAAACCGATGGAAAAGAACCAGTTTGTCATTAGCAGAATTAGCAATCAGGCGTTTTCCGGAGTTGGATTAATCTAGTATGAGCATTCATTTATTTTAGAAGCCATCTTGTGTCTGTGTGTCACAAACAAATCCGAGAACCTCAGAAAACACCGTCAGTGCTCATTGAGCTGGAAAGGAATTTTAAAAGGATCTCTAAATAGTGAGAAGGCTCCATCTGTCCTGGTGGAGGTGTTTTATCATCCTTGTTCCCCTCACACACTGGACCAACAAATATCTCTGCCTTCAAAGTCCCAGGATGGCTTCTAATCAGATGAAAGGCTTCATTTGCATCAAGTAATTCAAAGCTTTGTGTGTTTGCTGTAAAGAAAACGCTAAGTTGTAAATGATGTACACGACAGGTCTGCAGACGTAAAAACTCTGCTGCTAAAATAAGCATTTATTTTCTCCCGTAAATGAGCCACTACACAGCTGGAATGATAATGTGATGCATTAGGTAACAATAAAACACTTTGGTTTAAGTTGTCTAAATAATTTGGGGAACTGGACTAACCACATGGTAACGGCGGTGGCTGTATAATGGTTTGTGGATGTTTGGTTGAATCAGAAAAATGTTAAACTCATCACTGAATTGTTGGAGAAATATACAAATGTTTACTGCAAACTGGTTATTGTTAGGTTTGCTGATGGCTAATTCATGACCTAAAAAGACTTTTTGGCAATTTTCAAGTGTTTTTTGTTGTTGTAGATGGCTCCCTGAAAAGCTTCTGTTCAGAGAAATATAGTTTACTTCCATCAGGGCTGATGAACGTTTATTTCCATGGAGTTCTGTTGTTATACACAAGGATCATCCAGGGGTTAGGTCCAACAGAAATCTGCTGAAACTAACCCTGTAGTTAGAAGTTCTGTATTTAAAGTGGCAGCGTGTAGTTTTTACCATTAATACATCAAAATGTTGTTCGAAATTAATGAAATGGTGCCCAGTTTTGAAAAATTTTGGCAGCTTTGTAACATATAACCATAAAAATTGGGTCTAAAATTAATGGGAGCGGGTCTAAAGCCCTTTCTACAAGACACGTTGTGCCGGCAAACCTGCGTAAAATTACCGCAACGGCGTGTCTTATAAACGTGGCATGCTGGCATGGCATTCCGTGAATTTTGCAGCATTCGTTCCACCTTGCTTGGTAGTAATATTGTGGTAATTTTTGGTCCTATAAGGCGCAACAGAGGGAGCTGTCATGATGACATGAGGAGTTACTGCCGAGCTCCGACCGACGACTATATTGAAAATGAAAGTAAACAAGTTTTGCTTTTTGAACAAAATCAGCTGAGAACTGAGCAAACAAGAGCGCTGCAGCACTCCATGAGCATCTCTCCATTGGAGCTGAAGCTCAGATCACCAGAGACTGCACGGGGACTGATGGGGACAGACACCTTTAGGAGCGGCTTGTTAAAAAAAATGTAATGATCACGGCTTCAATCGCAATGAAAAGCAATTTATGTCCAAGATAAATGGAAATCTGCGGCACCGCAGAGACCGCCCTCATCCCTCCTTTATGCCGCTATCGCATAATCTTTTATAAAAAGGACACGGTTGCACCACATTACCGCCGCTGTGTGACCACTTATAAACGACCTAAGGCTCCCTGATGCCGCCACGGCGTTGCGGCAAATTGACGGCATTTTTTGTAAAAACAGCTTAAGTCTCCAGGCGACGCCATATTAGACACCCTGTTTCCTTCTACATTAACCCATGAGGACAAGACACATTTGCTGATTTGAAACAAGCGGTTTAAAAACTTTCAACATTCATAGACATTGGTGTTTTACACATTTACCTCTTCAGGTAAAGGGGGAGTCTGATGTGTTTGTCAAAGACTTGGGTATCTGCTACCCCCTATTGCCAGAAAAAATACATTCCATCACTTTAAACAACTCAGAATAAATTTTGTCCCGGAAGTAAGAGCCCAAACTTTTGTCTTTGTAAGATACATTCTTTGTCATGTAAAGATTTATTAAACAAAATTTGATATAAGGTTTAGGAGATTGGAGCCATTTTAATATGGCAGCATCACATTTCTTACTACCTGTTAGCTCATCAATCCTGAAGAACGTAAACTCTTCATTTCCCTGAACAGAGGCTGTTCAGGGCGCTGTCTACAATTGGTGGGGATGGAAACACTTCAGTTCTAAAGAAATGTGGGCATCAGCTGTTATGATCATACAGAAACAGAAACTTGTATTTTCTAAGTTTACTGAACTGTGTGCATTTAACCCTAAATGTTGTATTTTTGAATTAACTGGCTTCCATTCAAAACGTTCTGATGAAAGGGTAAACCGATATATCAGCCGACCGATACATTGGGCTGATATTTGACATTATTATTTATCAGCATGGGCTGAAATACCTCCTTAGTATGTACGATTTTAAAGTCAGACACATCCACAGGCAGCTGTAGAATTTAATTTAAATGTAAATTTATGTTCCTGGAAAAACAAACATCTTCATAATAAAAGCTCCAAAAGATATTTTCAACTAAAATTTCTTTTTTACTCAACAGTTTTGAATATTTAGTACTTGGTCAGTTCATTGATTTGTTTGATTAACTTTAGTTAAACGTCTGGTTTTAACACTGAGCAGTGGTTCAAAAACTGATTCAACTAAAGAAATTTTGTGCATCAGCCGGTGTTAATGACACTTTAGCATGCAAAAATGTTGGAAAACATTTAGATATTGACCATGAAAATTGGCCCAAAATCGGTATCTGCAGCAGATAAAACAATATCTGTCCACTTTCACACTGACTTCATACTCATCAGATGTGCAGGTTTTAAAAATGCCCAGCAGCAGATGCAGGAAATGGTTATGTCATTACAGCAGCCTTGCGCAAACATGGTTAGTGTCAGTCTGAGGAAGGTGAGAAGCAAACATGGCTCCCTACCTACATGCTGCTAAATGTTCTGCATGCCTTTAAAACCAAAGTCTTTAAAATGGAGCTGCTCTGCCATTACTGTCATCCTGGCTGTCTGTCTTATAAAGACAAATTACACGCTCTGCCTCCTCCTCTGTTACAGGTTATCATCCGGAGTGTCACACACCGACTATCGAACTGGAAGCAGACAGCGATTCGTGGATTTGTCGTCAATGTGTCTTTGCAGTCGCAACCAAGGTCAGGCTGCTAATCTCTCCGTCTCACCCATAAAAAACACCATTCAGTCTGGAATAATGGAGGAATCCTGTCAAATACATCAAGGCTGTGTGCTGCATGTAATGTGTTTATCTGAGGCTGAAAACACACTCCTTCTCTCAGCAGTGGCTCTGATATGAGGCGCTCTGCATTGTGTCTGAGGAACTGTGGACAATCGATAGTTATGTTGGTTTACAGGAAATCAGGAGCACATTTAAAGTCAATCCATCACATGTGCTCCATTTCTGTACCTGAAAGATGAAAAAAAAAAGCAATTATCGATCTGTCAAAGTCCAGATCTCAAAAATTCTGGTGCCAAAGAATTCAGCTTTCATGAATAACCTACAATAAAATGAGATAATTTCACTGGAGGTTCTACGGGCGGAGCCACAGAGGCATTAGCTCCTGCTGAAATCTGATTGGCTGTCTCTCAACTATCCTTTGTCCGTGATTAGATGTTAGGTGGATACGATTCCAAGTCCAAACACAAGTGGCGCTAATCAGCCAAATAAGAACTTCCTGAGTTAAATCTTTAGTTTAGTTGTAGGATTAATACTTGGCTCCTCTATAAATATTGCGGCCCCTTGATGGCCCCAAGATGGTGTCTTTGTTTTTGGACATGTCTACTGATTCAAAAAGATTTAATGGCTCACGTGCAATCAGTTCTGTCCCAAATTTGTTTTTTCCCAGAGAGGCGGAGCTCTGAAGCGAGGACGCTTCGCCCGACTCATGCAGTTCATGAAACTCCGTCTCCCCTACCAGCTGTCGTCTTTAGACTGGGACCCGCAGCATCTGACCAACCAACAGCAGTGTTACTGCTACTGCGCCGGACCTGGAGAGTGAGTTTAAACACACTGTTCATGTCTGCTCTGTCACCTGGCTCGTCCTCTGGATTATTTATGATTGGCTGTACGTCAGGTTGTGAAATAAACTGAATGCAAAGCGATTTGTTTTACTTGGCGTTAATTTATTTATTTTTGTTTATCTGCAGAATAAAACAAACGCAGTATTTTTTTGTTGTTGTATGTGAACCCAGAATCATTGTGTAATTGGTGTTGGACACATTTTTGTGCAGATGAGTTTAATGTCGATTGGGTTTTCTTGTTGCTGGGCTGCAGGTGGAACCTGAAGATGCTGCAGTGTGGAAGCTGTGGTCAGTGGTTTCACGAGGCCTGCACACAGTGTCTAATGAAGCCTTTGCTTTACGGGGACAGGTAGGTGACAGATCACTAATCTGCATATGGACATCTCTAATTGGACTGAATGAGTCTCAAAAGATACGTTTTTAATTATTTGTAGCATTAAGGACTATCTTTTGATCCACTGAATTTTGCATGGCTGTAAAACAGATCTGGATCAGTCAGCTGGCCTGCTAAGTGATTAGTTATATGATGTTCTTGTAATGAAATCACTTTAGAACATTTATTAGCTCCATAAGAGAGTGGGATTTTGTGTGATCGTAAACGCGTAAATGACATCGATATAGCTGTGACATGCTGTCAGTTCACTTCTGGATCAAATCCTAACTGGTAGCAGGGGCGGCGTTAGGCCCGGCTACTTGGGCTGAAGCCCCGGATCTTTCATGATAAGCCCCGGATCTAAATCGCGGAAGTAACATGCAGTACCAAAGTCCAACAGAGAGAGCGCAGCTGGCAGTAGTTTGTAAAGTCCCATTTAGTCTCCGCATTTGACCCATCCCCTGGGGGAGCGGTGAGTTGCAGACACGCCACGCTCGGGAACTATTTGGTGGTTTAACCCCCCAATCCAACCCCTTAATGCTGGGTCCCATTTTTCTCAAAATCTTTGGTATGATCCGACCAGGAGTCGAACCCCTGATCTCCCGATCTCAGGGCGGACACTCTACCACTAGGCCACTCAGTCGGTATACAGCCTGCCTGTGCCTCCACCACTGAACAAAAGCCCTTCAGCAGCTGGCTTCTTCTACAGTCTTTGTCTGAAAAGCATGAGTGAAGATGGACATCAGGACGTTTTTTTAGACCAAAAGTACAACGACAGAACCCCAGCTCTGATGAGACTGGTGTTGACTCAGGTTTGTGAGTCATATATGAAAATATTTGTTGTGCTGCTGGTTTGCCTAAAGTTAGCTTACTATCAGGTAAAGTTGTTGGAGAAAGAAAGGGAATATTTACTACCATCTCACACTAAACACTAACAGGAACAATACTCTGCCCTGAATATGCTGAATATGTAGCTTCAGATTAAACATTATGTGGTACAAGATATATATATATATATATATATATATATATATATATATATATATATATATATATATGATGTTGACTAGTGCGTGTCACGTGTGTGCGCGCATGCGTGTGTGTGCGCGTGCGTGTGTGTGTGCGCGTGCGCGTGTGTGCGCATATGTGTTAAGCCCCGGATCTTCTTCAGTCCTAAATCCGCCCCTGACTGGTAGCAGCCCATTCTTCTTCAATGGTGCTTGGATTTCAGTGATATTTGGCTCCCCGAGCCACTTAGTTGTGACTGTTCCTGGATTGTTGAAGGAGTTCCTCAGGGAGGATGTTTAGGCAACATTCTTTCTTCATGGCTATTCTCAGGCTAAACTGAGTGACTCCCCTCCCTTGGCTGAGAACGTCAGTCTGTCTCTGATTCTTTTCTTGGATAGAAGTGACTTCTTTGTTGCTCTTCCTGACACCAAGTTCCCATCCAGAAGTCGTTTTCTCATTATACTGCAGATGGACTCACACCTACCTGCTGCTCTTTTACTCGGAGTGAGTGGTTGACGTTTGTGTGTCTAAAAACTTTGAACTCCAGCTGTGTTTCATAAGAGACTCAAACTGGCTCTTATATTGACCCCGGAAAACCTCAAAATGAATGGACCAATAATATTTCAGCTGAATGGTGAAAATGTCTGAATTCTGATAATAAATTTGTTACAATGTGTCCCTGATGAGAGACGTAACAAAGTAAGGAAATTCCTGGCAAATAGTTGGAGACGCAAAATTGCAAGAACATATGCAAATTAGTTGAAACATCATTTAACTTTGAGTGTTTTTGTGAAAGTTGAATTCTTAAAATTAATTTGCAATGTTTTGTAATTCGTTTACGCTTCATCTTCATTTTCTAGCATATCTGCCACACTCTTAATGTCAGACTGTCATGTCTTAGTCTCCAGTTGCTCACAAATGAGTTTAATTTGGTCTCCAGCTTCAGTTTCATTAGTCTCACTCTTTTTTTTAAGTGTTTGGCGTTCAGAGGCTAAACTTTGAGCTTTGCAACTATTTTGAGGAAATGGCTTAGTGCAATTTTAGGTTTACACATTTAAAATTCTAATGACACGATTTGTGCTGCAACTCACCAAAGGACATTGATGCTCTACAACCTTTTTATTATAAATTTAGTTGAAATACTTGACAACACAGGTTTATTGTAATAAATAAAGATAAATCCAGTCATTCGCTGCCTTATCGAGCCTTTCCACCAGACACAAATGCACGTAGTATGCAGCAGTTAGCCACCAATATAGTGAATGAGTGTGTTTCCATTGGCCCAATAAGCGTTACGTTTAGGAAGCACACCAGAAGCGTATGTATGAGTTGCCTATGCTTCAAGTCTATTTTCTACATACTCTTCCAGAACATGTCAAATTCAGCTTGGGCCAGACAGAAAGTCAAACATGAACGCAGTGTAAAACATCCAGAAATCTTTCAAAATAAAAGTGGAGTTAAAAATTCTGTTGTGTTTGTATGAAGAAAATATTTTTATTATTCATTTTGTATTTATTTATTTATTTATTTATTTGAATCTAATATCAGGAGAGAATTGTCTGTTATTCAATGTTTGGTGGCTAAATTATAAAAAGTTTTTTTTTAAATGAACATTACAAAGCTACATCTCATCAATCTGACCAACATATTAATTGGGAAAAGAAACAGTTTTATGGAGCAGGAAACTGCGGATCAACAGACCATTTATCAAAATTCATAACAACACATTAATCATCTTGTTTAAAGCGGCTGGCCAGAGTGAAATTGACTAAGACGTCTCTGAGACAGCTTCCCCCGTCAAAGAATCGTCTTCATTATCCTAAATGATCGGTGGACATGTGGAGAGATCCAGGAACATCAAATCACCCTAAAGCAAAAGGGAAAAACAGCTGAACAGATCATTCAGACACGAGTCTGGGTGAAAAAGCCGGATGAGATTCATCTCGTCCATCGGTTTAAGTTTGTGTTGTCGTTAACCGTCTCTGGGACGCCGGTCTGTTTTGCTGCCCAGGCTTCTGGAGGGAAGGAGGATAAAAGAAGCAATGAAAGTGAGATTGACAGTTGGGGAAAATGAGGCAGGATTGGTCGAGCATCTGCTGAGCAGGTGATGGAGTTAGAGCGGTCTGAGTTCACAGTCAGAATAGCAAACGCGCGCTGCCGTCACAGCGCGTCGGAGCTTCATTTCTGACTGTGACCTTTATGCCATTAGAGCAACGGGCTGAGTTACGGGGGTCGCTCCAAACAGAATGGTGTTGCTTAGAAAAATGTACCATAGTGTTCATTTCCTGTTCAGCTCCTGTTATTATGTACAAATCAGAGGTGGAAAGTAACGAATTACATTTACTCACGTTACTGTAATTGAGTAGCTTTTTTGTAAATTTATACTTTTTAAGTCGTTTTTAAAATCTGTACTTTTACTTTTACTTGAGTAAGTTTTTAAAAAAGAATTGTAATTCGCTACATTTTAAATCATATCCGTTACTGAGTAAAAATAAATTGTAGGCTTAATAAATTAAAAATATTACGTGCAGCAGCGTCGGAACAGAAAGAGACACCTGCATGAGCACCACGTCTAAACCGGGGAGGGGGGGCTACACGCTTTATGATGAGGACAAACAGCCATTTTTACCACAGTTTTGATCAAAAACAAAAGTTCTGTGATCCACTCGCTGTTTACCTCCTCTCTCCCTCCTCTCCTGTGGGTTGGAACCTGCACCTTCGCGCACCGGTGTGACGTCATCAGAATTCTGCTCGGTTCGGCAACCAGACTCGGTTCCGTGTTTGAAATGTGTTTCCATACCGCGCACGGAAGCGGCAAAATTACGTTTAGCGCTCCTGCGTATTCTCAGCGCTCTACAGAAGACCTGCAGGCCTCTGTGAGTTAATCCTGATACTGTTCAGGTGTAAACATTGAGCTCATCCCTGTGTTTGAACTCGGAAGATGCTCCTTGATGCCACAGATATGTGATGATTTAGCTTGTTTCTTTAATTTACTCCAGAATAAGAGATCAAATTATTACAAAAGCAGTTCAGTGTAGTTAAATTAGTCATTCAAATGATTCTAACATGCTGCAGTGTGTGTGTGTGTGTGTGTGTGTGTGTGTGTGTGTGTGTGTGTGTGTGTGTGTGTGTGTGTGTGTGTGAGTGACTGCATAAGACAGCATGGCTTCATCAAATCCATGCATCTAATATCTTGGCTGAAGTAACGGCTCAGGAAAATAACTTATATTTAATAAACAATGACGTCTCTGCATTGTTTATGATAATGTTTTATCTTATATTGGACCTATTTTTGGTCTGGGAGGTGTAACATATCATGATACAAGCCTTTTAAAACATGTTAAAGTGTTACAAGAGGAGATAAATGCATGAATTTGAAGTTCATGTTTGGAGACCAACCTTCACAGTTTGGAGGCTCACGCTGGTGAGGAGACACCATTAGTTCGAGTAACTCCTGGGCTCCCACGGCCTGTTCTGACAGGATGGACGTTACGGGACCCTTAAGGATTCCAGCTGGATGATTGGAGGATTATTTAGGAGGACTGGAATGAACAAACTGATTTCAGTGGTGAAGGGTTAAAGGTATTGGCTCGGCATTAAAATTGTAGAAACGCAAAATAACTACACTTTATTATCTATATAAACATGTACTGGGTCCAGTTTTTTATTTTATTAAGGACTTTTGTCATAAATGATTACAGAAAATCCAAATCCTCTCCTCCAGACAGTGAAGAACTGTGTTTCGCATACGTCACTCCAGCACGTAAGCTAGCTGCTGATGCTAATATTGTGAATCACTGTTATTTGTTTACTTTCATGCTCGTGATTATTACGTAAAATTGCGTTTACAGCTGCAGCACAAGGTCCGAGCCATGTGTCTATGTCCTACACGCATTTTTAAATAACAGGTCTGATCTAAAATAATAACCTACATCTATAAATCCATCTAGAACCGCACCGCTACTTCTGGACTCCAGACGAGTCCCGTTAGCATGACTGCAGCAAAACTAACCGTGTTCGCTCCGGTAAGGAAAGAACAAGTCCTTTGGGGACACACACACACACACACACACGCACGCACGCACTCTCACACACACACGCACGCACGCACTCTCACACACACACGCACGCACGCACTCTCTCACACACACACACACACACACACACACACACACACACACACACACACACACACACACACACACACACACACACTTACACACTTACACACAGAGAGATATAATCTAAAAGATGATCTCTATATTTCAACATTAGAACCTCCATGACATCCTGGATTAGTGCAAACAACGAATTGAGCTAAGGAGTTACTCCAGCATCAGGAAGATTTATTCTGGTAAATTGTAGGTTCATTATTTTCCAGAGTTATGTCAATAAATACACACAGCAGTAAAACTGTAGATTACTGAACTATATTGGGACACATGATGGAGCTAAGACCAGCCGAAAACTTGCCAGCTTAGAGCTTCCAGTGGAGCACAGAAATGAAATATTTAAGAAAAGTAAACAAACTGTACCGATTTTGGTTCTGAAGATGAACAGAATCCTATGTCCAAATCAGGTTGCAGGTCTTCTGAGTCAAACGGTCTAAAACATGTCTGCACCTCTGGTAGTGATATCCAGCTGGCGGGGTCGAAGTTCGGTTGAACTTCTCCAGTAATCTAACATCCGTTCTCGTCGCCGTATCCCAGAGAAAAAACACATCTGATGGACTAGTAGAGGCTTCAGAAGCTACATCTGATTGATGACACATTGTTCTCTGCTATAACGCTAACGCAGAAACAGCGGAGCCAGGCGTTGTTTACTACAGCTGTTTCAGCAGAGCTCCATGTGAAACGTCAACTGCTGCCCAGGGCTTAGACCGGAAGTTAGTTTCTGTTTTTCCTGCGCCGGTCACAAACATCAGATTTTCTTACAATTCCAGCCGTCAAAATCCAAAAACTTTTTTCATCTGAGATTTTAATACACATTTACACATGCTGTTCAAACGAATTTTGCCTCTGGCCGATATCTTTAAATGAGTGAGTGAACCCACTACCAAAGATGAACTCTGCTAACTTTAAAAATCAGCTGCTCTAAATAAGCATTCAGGGAAAAGTCATGGGCTTGTGACTATAACCTAATTTATGTTACTAGTTTGCAGTGTAACTGCCTTTGTACTTCAATATGCATATTTGTTCATTTAATTAAAAAAAACGGCCACTTTGACATTTATACCCCATTGCCTTTTTTTAACTATTCAGAAGAGCCCGTCCTTGCACAGTCAAAAAAGTAACTAAGTAACTTTTACTCTGACTACATTTGAAATAAGCTACTTTTTACTTTTACTTGAGTACATTTTGAGGCAGGTAATTTTACTTGTAATTGAGTAAAATTTCATGAAAGTAATTATACTTGTACTTAAGTACAACATTTTAGTACTCTTTCCACCTCTGGTACAAATAAGAGGGTTGATTTTATTTAAGGAGGGAAGAAAAACCCTTAAGTACTAATAAAAACACATGACATGACTTTTGACACATGAAGATGGATTATTTTGTATTTTTGCTCAGGTTTTACCAGTTCCAGTGTTCAGTTTGTACAAAGGGACCTGAGACGATCCTGAGACTACCCATGACCTGGTAAAGACGATCACAAATACAGATTCTTACATGTCTAATTCTATAGATTAATGCATGAAACTTTCAATAGATTAACAATGTCCTTGTTTTTTGTATTTTACCTTTGTGAGTTAATTCTCTAATTCTCAACTTTTGTATTTGAAATGCAGGGTGGATTTGGCTCATTTAGTGCTCTACCATCTCTCTCTGTGCTGTAAGAGGAAATACTTTGATTTTGACCATGAAATCCTGTCCTTCACCAACGAGAATTGGGACTCGTTGCTCCTGGGCGCGGTATTGATATTTCACTGTTTAAGCACCATGATGAAATGATGTGAAATACTGTCAGGCCTTTTACTGTTTGAGATTTACACTTTATAAAGCACCATTAAAGTGAAATTTAATGTATGACCTCTATGGGAGCTCAAAAGGAGACACAGAGTTAAAGAATTCAGTGTTTTGGGTAAAAGTCTGTTGAATAATTTAGCTGAAATATTTCTTATAGTTTGATCCCCCTTTGCTTCTAGAGTCTGGTTTAAATTATTGACCTGGAGCTCAGTTAATCAGCTGTTTATATTTTAATCATAGTTAGCAAATTAGCATGATGTTTCAGTACTTTGAAAGTGAATACATTATTGTTTTAGCTGTTGAATGTAAAAAAAGGCATTTTAACTTTGGATTTTCACAGAGGCTCAGTTTGTTGTTTGTGGCTGTGTCCATGTGGCTGAGCGCACAAGGGGAGGTGTGTGTTAACCCCACATTGGGCGCCACTTTAGCTGAACAAGCCACTGGCATTCACATTTGTGACGCTGGTAGGTCACCGTGGTGACCCTTCAAAAGTAACTGGCAACAGCTTTACCCGGTGTTGCCAACTGTTTTTGACTGAAAGTAGCTAAAGTTGCCCTCAAAAGTCACTAGATGTCACCAAATGACGTCATGTGCTAATTTGCATACAACACAATGACGTCATCTGGTTTGCGTGATGACGTCACCACGGTTGCGTCATGACGTCGCAGGTCTTGAATAGTAAATCGAATAAAACCCACGTGATTTAAAAAATATATATTTAATTTCTTTTTTAATATTTTATTAAAATAAAAAACCCATAGAACACAAAACAGCAGCCTTTAAAACATCAAGGAAAGATGGCACAAAACAATGGAAGGAATATTTATATTTTGTCTGAAGAGAATGGAACTCTCAAACACAAAAATATTAAATTGATAGGAATGTATGTATGATTGAATTAAAATGAATTTTCTGTTGTAGTTTTCAAGTGCCTTGAGATGTATTCTTCTGTTGTGATTCAGTGCTACATATTGACCTAAAATATTATATATATATATATATATATATATATATATTTGTTTGGTTTTGTTGTTTTTAGTACTTTTGTGTAAATAGAAGCAGGTCGTATTTAGTATTCAGAAACGTTACATGCAAACTGCCAATGAACTGCCAATGACTTACAGTATTATTCTGTTTGTTATAAAAGTTTTAAATGTGCTACGTTATTGAACTCATCATAGAGTTCCAATGTTCCTTGAATGCACCACAAGTGGTGCGAGAAGCCATGTGTGATTGCGACACTGGTGCCAGCCGAGCTCAGCTGCCGAAATGCGGCAGGATGGCGGAAGGAGCGGTCACCCTTTATGTAGCTCCAGTGGCTATCTCAAATAATGGACTTGTGAAAACCCACAAAAGGTTTGATTGGTCAATGGGGTTAGCGTGATATGCGCAGATAATTTTCTTTCTGATCCTCTGGAAGGAAGGACGGTCCTGTCGCTTCAGATGCCTCGCTAATCCGCAGGTGAAGTCTGCTACAAAGTTGTAGTCAAAGTAGCTGAGGGGGGTCAGAAATGTTGCCAGAATTGTCGCTAGGCGCTTTAAAAAAAAGTCGTTAAGGGGGTCTGAAAAGTCGTTAGAAATGGTGATAATGTCGCTAAGTTGGCAACACTGGCTTTACCATTTCTTTAGATAAAAACATATTTGTATATTATTGATCATTTTTCATCGTTTTTACTCATTTAATATAATTTTTGTCTTAGATTTTTTTAACCTTAAGTAATTTTGGGCATTTACAAATTTAGAACGTTTGGTGCTTTTCAAAGTTTCTTCTAAAAATCTTCTAATTTAAAATTAAAATCAACCTCCATTCTCTCAGAAAATAGAATATTTTAGGAAAATAGTCATTGTTTTGATTTGAAAAATAGATTAAATCTAATAACTCCTTCACTGATTTATAAATGATTATGTACTCATAACTTTGATAACATAATGTTCTTTATTGACTTTTTATGTGCACTTCTACCAGCCATTAAACATTTTTTTTGTTGCCACAGTATTTTTTCCGGTATGCAGGTTTTATCATTGCAGACAGCATTTTTAAATACATTTAATTTAAGATTTTTTATTCATTATTTGGATGAAAAGTTGAATGTTTAATGATTTTTTTCTGCATGTGTCAGAGGTTTCTCCTCCGTTCTTTCTGCAGACATTTAGAAATGTGTCGTTTAATAACAGCAAATTATGGATCCAGCAGTTAATTGTTCATGCCACCATTACTGCTGTCAGCAGCTGGAAGAAAGAAAGATCTTTTGCATTTGATGCATATTGTTACTCTACAAGTTTATTCATTTATTTCTCTTTCTGTCTGTCTGCCCTCCAGCTCTCAGACACGCCAAGGCAGGACCGCTGTCACAATCTGCTTGGCGCACTCAACTCCAACAAGGACAGGTAAGTCATCGTGTGTGATGGGAGAAATAAAGATGGAGCACACATGACCGGGCTGATGAGTAGGCCTACTTTGAGCTGTGCTTGGTAATTTGGGACCTGCTGGTTAATATAAAGAAGGTGACATCATGTGTGATTTTGAATAAAGAGGGAGAAAAAGGCAGCTGACAAGATGAGGAGAAATGTAACAAATGTAAGTCACCGCCCAAGTTGTTGGTATTAAGTTAGTACATTCAAAAAAGAAAAGGAAAAAGTGGGTTTTCGTTCAATTTTGTGTAAAAATAACCTTTGCAGTGAAAGAAAATGGCACATTTCTTCAAGCAAAGTTTGTTCTAATTACATGCAAGTTAATTACAGAGTCCCTCCTTTTGAAGTGTTCCCATCAGCAGGAAAAGAACATTGTGTCAGACGGCTCTAAACTCGTTATTAGTGAAGAGAGGGAACAAAAAAGACCTATCAATGGGATGTTTCTGCTCAGGTTCGTCTCTGGAAAAGAGATCAAGAAGAAGAAGTGTCTCTTTGGGCTGCAGGTTCGAGCCCCGCCTCCGCTGATGTCTGATTCATCGCCTCTTATCACTGATCCACCAGTCAGCATCACCCACCGGAGAAGGTCAGAGTGAGGACACTGGGTCCATTTTTTGGCTCATTGAACAGAAAGAAAAATTAGGAAATTTACCAAAAGTGTTTTATTTAACAACCTCCAGAGCTACATCTAAGAATTCTTCACCCTAACCCTGATGTTTTAACAACTAGTTTCATGGTTTTTGCCTGTTTTCTTTCCTGAATTGCTGAAAAATGCTCATTGTCACTTTTGAAATCAGTTTCTTCTTATTTAACAGTATTTATGAGCACAAAAGAAAATCAAATATTAATTTCCCCACTCATACATATTTATCAACATAATGTAGTTGAAACTAACCAAAAGGAAGCAGCGCTTAAATGCAAAGGCATCAGTGGTGACAAAAATTCTTGGTTGGGCTGGATGACCTCCAAAACAATCAATTATTTCCTTTTCCAAATGAGTAGTTTTAACAGACGAATTGGAATAAAATAATAATAAAAAAAATACACAAGTGTTTGCCTTTCTAGCTAACACATAATGTCCATTTTTGTCCTTGCCCACATTTATTTTGACTTTAGTTTGTTTTCCGGCTTGAGTTTTCAGTGTGTTTTAATCATCTGCTCATAGCATGTGCACCTAAAAGTGCAATAATTTGCTCCACCAGAGGGTGGCACAAACACAACAGAAATTGAATTAGATATCCTGTTTTCAACATTCAATTCTCTTAAAATTGGCTTAAATAAACACATTTTACTTCAGCATCTGCATGCATGATTTCAGCTCCATCTATATAAACAAACTGAGTGTGTGAATGAGTGGGTGAGAGAGAGAGAGAGGAAAGGAGATGCGAAGTCTTCTAGCATGATAGCTAGCAGTTTTCTGTTTCGGGGGCGCTATCAGACAGTGCCCCAGAGGTATTGATTCCAGTGATGCAGATTGGCCAAAAAATCTCCAGTTCTCCCTAGCAACTAAACATGATTGGCTGTTTAGCTGCAGTTCAGAGTGCTTTTCCCAGTACCCCAGAAGTGAAATTAGTGAGTCTTTTGGAGGAAATCCACTGTATAATGATGACAGCTGGTGAGAAAGATGTGCTAATAATTCAGGCTGCATGTGGGCATGCTCAGTTGAGCAAAACTGACACAATTTAATTGAATGTATGTTGATATTATATATTTCGTTTACTTTATATACTTTTTTCCTCCCTCCATTAATGGAACGCCCTATGGAAGAACGCCTCTCACAGGCATACATTTAGCATTCATTTCTTATTGATGTCAAAATTTTTCAAAGCAAAACACTTTTCAGATACGTCGGTTAGGTTTAGAATATTAAATCTGGTTACGATCTGGGTTAGAATGTTGCAAACAAAGCATGTTGTGAATGGACTTCTGTTTTTTTTCTTTACAGGATTCATCCTAAACATTATCTGTTAAATCCATTAGGAGCAACATTTTATTGACTTCCTGCTTCCTCTGTGACTCAACTGACTTTCAGGGTATTCTTTAAATTATCTGTAGTGAAATTGTCATATATTTATGCAGAATATCCTGCAAGTACTCTATTGCGTCCCCACTCACCCACCAGGAATATTAAGGTTTTATGCATACTGTAATATTAACTCTCCAGGTTTTCATATTAACATTTCAGAATGCCTCTCCTTGTACGTGCTGCAGAGTAAAATTTCACCATCTCACACTTTGATAAATCACTAGTATGATGTCATGGTGCGGGAAATCTTGTTTTCTCTTTTTCTTCTCTTCTGTGTCTAAACACAGAAATAAGTTTGCAATAGTGGAAAAACTAATAAAAGCACAGCTGTTTTAGATTTCAGGCATTTTGGTGGGTGTTTCCTATGAACAAGACAGGTAGTGGTAGAAAAGTGAATGTTTTTTTTTTTTAAAACAAAGGTTGTGTGGAAGATCTTAAGTAGTTGAAGTAATGGGTGACGAAAATAAAGATATGACATCTCAATAGTTCAGTGAAGGTTTATAATAATAATAATAATAATACATTTTATTTCAAAGCGCCTTTCAGGACACCCAAGGTCACTTTACAGAAAACACGTAATAAAATACAATAAAACAATAATAAAACCCAAAGAAGAAAAAACAAAGAGAGAAACAGTTCAATAAAATCAGAGGTTGTAGGCAGATTTAAACATGTGTGTTTTGAGTTTTGATTGGAAAAGGGTAAAACTGTCGATGTTCCTGATGTCTGGGGGAAGTGAGTTCCAGAGACGGGGAGCAGAGCGGCTGAAAGCTCTGCTCCCCATGGTAGCGAGACGGGCAGAAGGAACCGCAAGATGGATGGAAGAAGATGATCTGAGTGAACGGGATGGGGTGTGAATACTTATAAGGTCTGAGATATATGGAGGAGAGAGGTTGTGGATTGCTTTGAAGGTATGGAGGAGAATTTTGAAGATGGACCTGAATTTAACTGGGAGCCAGTGAAGCTGCTGGAGAACCGGGGTGATGTGGTGAAAGGAAGGGGTTCTGGTGATAATACGGGCTGCTGAATTCTGGACCATTTGCAGTTTATGAAAGAGTTTGTTGGGGAGACCATAAAGAAGTGAATTGCAATAGTCGATACGGGAGGTGACGAGGCTGTGGACGAGAATGGCGGCAGTGTGAGGGGTCAGTGAGGAACGGAGACGGTTAATGGAACGTAGATGGAAGTATGCTGACCGACTTATGTAATTAATGTGAGCTTGAAAAGAAAGTGAGCTGTCAAGAATGACACCCAGACTCTTGACGTGAGGGGAGGGGGAGACTATGGCGCTGTCAATAGTTAAAGAAAAGCTGTCAAATGTTGAGAGGGTGGAGTTAGTGCCAACTAGAAGAAGTTCAGTTTTATTGCCGTTGAGTTTGAGGAAATTAGAGGTGAACCATGATTTGATTTCAGAGAGGCAGAGTGTAAGGGAGGATGGTGGGAGAGTTGAGTTGGGCTTACTGGAAATGTAGAGCTGGGTGTCATCCGCAAAGCAGTGAAACTGGATATTGAATTTGCGGAAGATTTTGCCGATAGGGAGGAGGTATACTATGAAGAGGAGGGGCCCCAGGACAGAGCCCTGGGGCACACCTGACTTGACTGGGGAGGGTTCTGAGGTAAAGGATTTTAACTGGATGAACTGAGTGCGGCCAGTAAGGTAAGATTGAAACCAGCTGAGGGGGGTGTGAGTGATGCCTAAGGAAGAGAGTCTATTGAGGAGGATGGGATGAGAAATGGTGTCAAAGGCCGCACTCAGATCGAGGAGAATAAGAATAGAGATTAAACCAGAATCAGCAGCAATGAGTAGGTCGTTAGTGATCTTGATGAGAGCTGTTTCTGTGCTGTGGTGGGGACGGAAACCGGACTGAAACTGTTCATAAAGGTTATTGCGGGTGAGATGGGAATGGAGCTGAGATGCAACAGTTTTCTCTAGGACTTTGGAAATGAAGGGAAGATGGGAAATGGGACGCAGGTTGTTGAAATCATTGGGATCTAAACCAGGTTTTTTTAGAATAGGGCTGACTGAAGCGGATTTGAATAGGGATGGGACCGTACCAGAGGATAGTGAGGAATGAATAATGGCCGTCATAAAAGGGAGCAGAGAAGAAAGGCAGGATTTAACTAAAACTGTTGGAATAGGGTCCAGTTGACAGGTGGAAGGTTTGGATTTGGTGATGTAATCTAATATTTCTGAGGGATGGGGAAGTTCAAAGGAGGAGAACTGAATGGTGGGTTCAAATAAATCAGGAGAGGGAGGGGAGGAATGAGGTAAAGAGAGATGGATTCTATTGACCTTATCATTAAAAAACTGAAGGAGAGAGTTACAGGTTTCTGAAGAGTAAAGATGGATGGGTAAGGAGTCGGGAGGCTGAAAAATGCTGTTCATGATGGAAAATAATGCCTTAGTGTTGCTGGAGTTGGACGAGATGAGACCGGAGTAATACTGAGATTTGGCATGGGAGATGGAGTCCTTGTAGAGAGAAATCTGAGCAGAATATAAGTCTTTATGGATGGTGAGACCAGTTTTCTTGTAGAGTCTTTCAAGCCTCCGGTTGGTAGCTTTCAAGGAGCGTAGGGCAGGGGTGAACCATGGAGCAGACCGAGTAAAATATACAGAGCGGGATTTGATGGGAGCAAATGAATTAAGGATAGAAACCAGACCGTTATTGTACTGAATGACAAGATCATCGGGAGTAGAGGACAAATTAGGGGTCAGGGTGGCAAAACTGGAGGACAGGGAGGCTAGATCAATGTCCTTAATATTACGAAAAGAAATGATACGTGGTGACTTGATGATGAAGAGACGGAGGGGAACAGAAAAGGAGATGAGGAAGTGGTCCGTGAAAGGGAGTGGTTCAGCTGTACAGTTGGAGGGGGTCAGGCCGGAGCAGCAGATTAAATCCAGGGTGTGATCTTTAATGTGAGTGGGAAAATTGGCATATTGATGAAAACTGAGGCTGTCCAAAGATGAGAAGTCTTTGCTGAGGGGGAGGGCCATATTGTCCATATGAATATTAAAATCACCAAGTAAAATTACATTTGGGGAAACGGAGGACAGATGGGATAAAAGAGCAGAGAGTTCATTTAAAAACTCAGAGCTGAACTTGGGGGGACGATAAACAGTGACAATTATTGTGGGGGTCGGGCCGGAGAGTTGACAGGCAAGGCATTCCAGAGTGGTGAGAGGAGGAAGGTTTACGGGAAGGATCTTCCAAGTCTCGCGATAGAGTATCGCGAGACCACCGCCGCGGCCCGACCCACGGGGTTTGGAGAGGTAAACAAATCCGGGAGGAGTACAGTCATTGAGTTGTGAGAAATCGCTGGGTTGTTGCCATGTTTCGTTCAGACAAAGAAAGTCTAGCTTATGGTCACTGATGGTATCTTGGAGGAGATGTCCTTTACCAGAGAGGGAGCGAATGTTGAGAAGACCAAAATTAGCATTGCGGAAGTCCCTGGCGACAGGAGCATTAGCCCGACTAGCCAGCCGGGCTAACACGCTGGAGTCGGCAGCTCGGCAGGTATTCCTGGGTAGCCGCCGGCTAGTCGTGGACCAGAAGGAGGGTATTCCTTTGGAGCCGTCGAGATGGAGGTTCCGCCGGGACCCCCGATGGATATACCGACGGCGAGGCTGGAAGGTGATGCCGGGGAAGAGGCACAGAGCTGGTGGTGGAGATCCGGAGTAGTGAAAGCGGAGGTTGAAGAGCTCCGCCGCCGAGTACTGGAGAAGGCCATCCACGGACAGAAGAATGAGCGACAGGATGATCCAGGCCAGTGCGAGGCACAGAGAAATCCTGCTGGACCACATTATGGAGTGGAGCAGGGAGGTGGTGATGTGGAACCAGAACGCAAGCTGAGAAGGTAGGTGAAAATGAGTTTTCACCGACACAGGGATGTGACTCGGGTAAAAAAGAAGAAAAAAAACACAAAAAGTTTGTTTGCCAGCGAGCAGCGGCAGCGAGACGCGCCAGCGTTCACTCAACCGGACCGAAAATTATATATATATAAATTTTTTATTATATATATTATATATATTTGTTATATATGTATATGTATATGTATATATGTATATATATATATATATATATATATATATATATATAAAATAAAAATATATATTTTTATTTTATATTATATATATATATTTATTATATATATATATATATATATATATATATATATATATATATATATGATAAAAAATATATATATATATTAGTGATGCACCAATATGACATTTTTGGGCCGATACTGATATCCGATATTAAGATCACTGTTAAGGTCGATAACCAATATACTGACATTAATGCTTCTAAAATCAGCAGAGTTTGCATAGAATAAAAATTATTGAAGCTGAATTTACGTTATTATGTACACACAGCACACACATTAACTCTTTTGAGATGATTACAATCACTGTGGCATGACTAAACCATTACACATCACCCCCTCACAAGATGGAAAAAATATCTGTTGTTAATATCAATCCTTTTTTTTTTTATCAGACCCATACCAATATGTTAAAAAATGACTAACATCGTCCGATAGCAATACTGATGCCGATGTATTGTCCATCCCTTATATATATATATATAGAGTATATTTTATTATTGATTGTGACTATTGTTCCTTTGGAAGGTGTAAGGAAAATGAGAGGTTCCACCATTTTATTTAATGAGCCGTAAGGCGTGGGACTCCATAGTAAATATAAAATCCACCTTACGGATCTAGGGTTATTTAAACCAGAAGATTGGATCTTTTTAATGCAGAGATTATGTAACTGTTATGTATTCCCTCAGAGACAACAGAATAGAGTCAAATTTAAAAGTTAAGAATTTGGTTCCTAACAAATTAAACTAGTCTGACTTCAAAACTAAGTGTATAGTGTAACAAAAAATGGATGAGACGGTGAATGGATGACGTGTCATGTAAATCAGAACCAGCAATTTCGAAGAAGCGATTAGTTCTGACGGGAATTGAAGTTGTTGTTCTGAAATAAGCTTTGGTTAGTTTCAGAACCGCATGAGACACCATCAAGCCGGGTCTCCCTGCCTTGTGGAAGTCCTCTGGTAGATCAGGAATGCCGAGGCCCAGCGGACCCTTTCTGGAAACCGAGCTGGTAGAAGAAGCCGTGGTTCCGACCAGACCCGTCTTGAGTTACCTCCGACACATGACTCTTTTATTGGCGTCTGTTCAGACCCAGCCTGGGTCGGTGGAGCTTTTATTCTGAAAGGAGCTGTTGTTGCCGCTGGTGGTTATAGCGACTGGATTTTTCAGCTTGTCGTGGTTCTTTCGGTTGAAGAGTTAAAGGTCGGATTGGCCACTCCGACTCTTGCTCTGGAACGCTTTTGAACTGGCGTTAGAGCTGACGTGGCATAGTTTTATACCTCGGATGTTATGGTTTATTGTCGAATGAAAATTACCAAACACTGTCAGAAGCACACCTCCGTCAGATCTGTAAAGTTCTGATTGGATCAGTGAAAGAATGTGTTATGTCTTCTTAACACTACGTGAATTGAGTCCTGTTGGAATCCTTAAAGTCACAGACTTATTTTCTAAGATCATCATAAAGTAATTAATATTTTAATTTCACAGGTCGGTCACATCTTATTATTGACTAACACTTTGATGGATTAGCTTTATTAAAATAGAGTTCTTTGATTAATTAAAAGAAAAGAGTTCATTCTTCATTCTTCTGTCTTCATTGCTGGAACGTAAACAGTTTAGAAGCGAATGCATGACCTTGAGGCTGTTTCATGCACTCTGGCACTGTGTCAAAAGGAAACGGCTGTTAGAGGGTAGAAATGGCTCCTTCATCACGTTACAAAGGTGTAAAATAGTATGATACAGGTCCTTTAAAGGGAAAATATTCATATTGTTATGTTTGATTAAAGTAACAATGTGTAGGTTTTAGCATTAATCTCTGGAAATATCCATCAAATTGTTGTTGAAAATAAATTAAATGATTCCCAGTTGTTGAAAAATATTGGCCGCTTCGCAACATAAAACCATAAAAATCTGGTCTAGCATGGGAGTGGATCTAAATCTCTGGGCGACGCCATGTTAGACACAGTGTTTGCCTCTACGGGAGCATGTGAGTACAAAATGCATTTACTGATTTGCAACAAGCGGTTACAAAACTTTCGTCATTCATAAACATTGTTGTTTTCCACATTTACCTCTTCACTCGTGTTCTTCATTTTGCAGAGGAGGTGGAACGATCTGATTAAGTACTCGTTCAAAAATTGCACGCCCAGAGATTTTTGCCCTAATGGCCATTCGTTGGTAAGGTCTTATCCAAACAAAAATATTGCTTTCTTGCAATAATTTAGGTATGTACTGCCACCTATCACCAGGGTAAATATTCACTGTCACTTTAAAACTGTTAACAGAGGTGTAGGTTCTGAATTACTTGTCGTAAATCCAGTTCAGTTGCACTTGTTTCATCAGTAAGATGTAGCTTTTTACTGTTCATCAAGTGCTGAAATAAATACAGACTCAAGGTTTCCCCCTGATCTGTGCTCGCAGTCCAGATCGCCAGGCTTATCAATTTTTCTGGGGGAATCCCTGGATTTCAAAATGAACCCATGGTCTATGAAATATATTGAACTTATAATTGCAATGTTGTTTTAGAAAAATGACTCAAAATGACATGAAATGACCCTGGACGTGAGGATAGTAACTTGAGATTTACTCAAGCAGTGACTTGGTCTCATATATATATATATCAAGCTACATGTCATTAATCTGTGTTACAGCACGTTCATTTTCTTTTATTTTGTTTTTACTACATTTAGTGTATTAGATCTAGCATACTTACCAGTGTGAACAATTTTAAGGTAATTTATTAAGTAACATATTTTCATCTTGACAAAAAAGAAAATTTTGTAAAAATTGTAAAAACGTAAAATATATATATACAACAGCCAGTTTTATATGTGTTTTTACATTTTTTTAAAACATTGAGATAATTGAAATGTGTAACGGGTATAAATAAGCTGTGCTTTTAACCTTTACCTTGTCTGTAAATGTCCAAAGGCCTAAACATGTAAAATCTAAATAAACATTCACTTAATCTTTAAATTGAAGTAAACCTGATAAATATTGTAATCCTAAACTGGCCTACCACTGCTGTCCTTAACAGAAGTGCTCTGACTGTGTTCTGCTCCTGTTTTATTTCCTAAAGGATCAAAGGAAATACCCTGACATGTTAGAACCACCATCAGCAGACCCTCATGCAGCCATGATGAGAAATCAAACCCATCCAGAGAGGAAGGTGTTTGCTAATGTATGCGTGTGTTTTCTCCCCTCAGCCCATTGTCACTACCCTGCCAGAGAAGAGTTGGAGGGCCGGAGTCTCGTAAATCAAAGCGTCGCATCATGGAGACACAGGTCAGCGCCTCTGTCTCAGGAGGAGGGGGGTGGGGGTCTGGGCCACTATTCCTGGCTTACATTTTCTTCCTCTTATTTTTTTTAAATGCACCCAGGTAAACATCCTTGTGTGACCCAAATAACCCGTCATTCTCACAGAGCCGTCTCCTTCAGCCTTGCTGCTCCTTTCACACTCCGCTGCCTCTGTGTTTGTTCTCTCCTCCCAGCAGGAACCTTAAAGCCTGCTAATGTGTTAGAGAACACAAATAGATTAAAAGTAGCTTTGAGAAACGTGGTGGCGCTCCGCTAAAATGTATAATTCATATCCAATCTTGCTAAAACCTGCTCTTGTATTTCAGCAACACCTGCGATTCAACGACACATTTATCAGCATCATCAGAGCCGATTCCCAGCGGACGGCTCTGAAACAAGCAGTCTCACATGTGCTGGTTACTATTTTTACTCTGCATTCTTAAGCGTGAACGTTCGTCGTGCTTTGTTCCTCCTACACATCGCTCTGATCTGTGTATGTGCACGTAGTGAAATCCTGGAACAATACGCTCTGCACTGCTCCTGTTTTTCTCTCCACTTTGGCTCATCCAAGCTCCATTGTTCTCCTCTGACAGATGCTAATCTCAGTCTGTCTTGGAGGAGTAGGTCTGAGGAAAGTGAGATGGGTAAGAATGCTGATATGCGGAGTCTGGGATCACTTCCAAGTGCACTTTGCAGTCAATTACATTTTGGCCAGGTGGCGCTGGCACCTTGACAGCGCTACTCTGACAGAACGTCTCTGTTTAAAGGTGCAGACATGAACCGAAGCTTCTGATTAATAATCTCCCATCATAACCGCCATGCTACAGAAGTGGCTCGGTGTGCTGCTGTGTGGTGACCACCTCCTAGGTGATGCTTTTACTTTGTATGAGTCAGCAGCAGCTTCCTCACTAACCCTTTGGGCTGTGGACAGTTTACAAAAAACACAAAATACCCCAAAACCTGAACTTGACACTCGAGCGAGCACAAAGGTAACAGTTTTGGAGGGACTGATGATGTTGGTTCAGACACCAGCTGATCCCTGTGTCTCCCCTCTGCCCAGACCTGTCAACCCCCGGTTACTGCCAACCCTGTTGAGCTGCTGCCATGTTGCCATGGCTACATGGGAGGAGCCAACCTTTACAACTCCAGGAAGTCGGAGGAGGAGCTTAACATGTGGTAAGGGCTGTCTGTACAGGTTGTTTTTGCTTTGTTCTCTAATATTATTATTTATTCTTATTTTTTTTCACCAGCTGAAGGTTAACCACAACACTTTGTTTTGAAATATTACTGATATGTGATCATTTCTTATCTTATGTTTTTTAACAACACTGGAAAAAAATAAATAAATACAACATACCTGAGTGTGGCTCACTGCAGCTCACTGCTGAATGCTTTTGTTTAAATATTTATGTGGTATTTATTTTCACAATAACAAGAAATGTATTTTTTGCATTCCTATAAAACATATTTTCCAGGTCCACTTACATTTCAATTAAAGCTACAACCCAGAATATTTTTTTCTCAGTGTCACCATCTAGAGGCTCACAAGTGTATCTCACATTTTTTCTCACCATTTTTGTATTCACAGCCAAAATCAATGCCTCTCGTTCATGAACGTGCACCTCTAGCTGGATAACAGCATTAAAATGCACTGTTATATTACTATTCTCACTTTATACTGTTCATTTATAAATTCCTATGTACAGGTCCTTCTAAAAAAAATTAGCATATTGTGATAAAGTTCATTATTGTCTGTAATGTACTGATAAACATTAGACTTTCATATATATTAGATTCATTACACACAACTAGGGATGCCCCGATCAGGTATTTTTGCCCTCGAGTACGAGTACGAGTACGAGTCATTTGATTTTGAGAATCTGCCGATACAGAGTCCCGATCCGATACTTTTGATACATAAAAAAATAAATAAATAAAGAAAAGGAAGAAACAGTTCCATAATGTTCCTTATTTTTTATTTAATTCACTTTTTATTTTAATCTGTGAGGTAGCTTGAACAATCAATTAATAAATAACATAAATTCTTCACTTTTGGACTTTATTGCAAATTTAAAAAGTCTAATATAAAAACAGATAGCACTTCAACTTAAAATACCTGGCAGGGGTCTATTTTGCCTCGGCCCCCAAAATGCTTAGATACGTCCCTGGGCATGGGATGGAGTTTTGAAGATGATCTGAATTGTATCAACTATATAAATACTACATGCTGATAAATTATTGCCTTATACAGGTACAAATGTGTAGTGGGATAAATGACCTACATTTTATTTTTTAAGAACTTTGTTTGGTTTTGTTTTCTTGGTTTTTATTTTCCTATCTTCCTGTCCTGTCTGTCTCTGATCTTCCTGCATCCCCACAGTCCTCCAGAAAAACTCCTGCCTGCTTCCTTCTTTTTCACCTCACAAGTAACTTTTTAATTAGCAGATCAAATTGATCTATTGACCGCACAAAAAGTGGAGTGTGCGCTGCGCTGCCTGGCAGCGCCAGTGACTAGCGCTGCAGCGGGGGCACGTCATGCTCAAATAGACTGAACTCACCAGAGAGAAAATGGACACGAATGATTGTGCGTTAATTGTATATGTTTTGGTGACGCCACTTAGAAACTTAGAAAATGTTACTGTGGCCGTGTGCAGAACACAGCTGGAGTTCATGAATAATCAGCGGTCTGCCTGCCGCTCTCTGCGTCTCTGCTCAAAAGAATCCCCGCTACACTGAGTCCATATAATATAGGTAGAAACTGGATCTTTTTTGTGCTTCTTCTGGCTGTGTAAGTTAAGGGCATCAGGGGAGCCTGACAACCTTTAAGGAGAACCAAGTTGCCCTCCTGTAATTTGAACCCAGTATCCGAGTCCGGATCAGGGCTTGGATCGGGAAGTAAAGCACGAGTCCCGATCAGTCTGAAACCACGTGATCGGGACCGATTTCCGATCATGTGATTGGATCGGGATATCCCTGCACACAACTGAAGTAGTTCAAGCCTTTTATTGTTTCTAATGATGATGATTTTAGCATACAGCTCATGAAAACCCAAAATCCATATCTCAAAGAATTAGCATATTTCTTCCGACCAATAAAAGAAAAGCGGTTTTAATACAAAAAAGTCAACCTTCAAATAATTATGTTCAGTTATGCACTCAATACTTGGTCGGGAATCCCTTTGCAGAAATCCCTGCTTCAATGCGGCGTGGCATGGAGGCAATCAGCCTGTGGCACTGCTGAGGTGTTATGGAGGACCAGGATGCTTCGATAGCGGCCTTAAGCTCATCCAGAGTGTTGGGTCCATCGACATACATTCATGGACAATGGGTTTCCATAGGCTCCAATAACACGTTTTTGTACTAAAATGGGAGGTGGCCACCACCGCCATTTTGACTGTGTCACAGGTTCCATCAAGCCCAGACAATTCCATAAAAGGGAAGAGAGGAGCTGAGGGTGGAGCTGTAAGGCTGGGATCAACTGACGACACCCGATGTCGGTACAGGATCTGCTCGGGTGCAAGATCGGCTCGGGTGCAAGATCGGCTCGGGTCCTTCGACTGCCGATGACGTCAAAGTACGGCAAACCCACTCGGACAAAATACAATACACATCTTTATACTGTTGGAAAGAATTTAGCAGTTTCGTTATTAAAATAAAGTTAAGACGTAAGTTTGTGTTTATAATGGTATTTGTAAAATAAAACACTATATTGTATTCATAATGTTGAACTCCTCTTTCAGCACATCCCTTGAAAGATCATCTGTATTAGCAACACCTGTGAAATTGTATTTGCAGGAAAGAAGTGTGTCCCGTTTATTGAAGTATTTTGTGTTTAGTTTTTGACGTCTTGTCCATGCGTAGTTCAGTTACGCTCATAGCTGCTATAGCCAAAACACTGGAGTGAAAAGTTTTCTGGCTTTACTAAAATACCTGTCTGTACTTATTTGATTGATGGTAGTTTTACTTTCTATTAGATTCCAAATGTAATCATTTGGCATGTTTCTAATTCATAATTTGTAAGAATGTAATCGGTGATATTAGCATTAGCATTCCTATGGGTTTTTCCACGTTTATTAGCATTGCACTAACCACTCGCTGCCAAATTGCAGCCTTTGCGATTAGAAAATCTCCTTTTGTCACATCGCAATTTAATTGCACACGCAGTTAATCGTTCAGCCCTAATATACATGCAGCTCTATGCTAAAAGTGTATTTTCAAAGAGGTAATGATGGATTTCTTTGTAAAAGTTGTCCATCTTTCCAACAGAAAGATTTGCCTGGACCAACGTAACATGATAACGACGTAACGTGATTACGTAATTCCGTAAGGTTCATGTTCAGCCAATCAACTACTTTGACGTCACCGGCAGTCGACGGACCCTGAGCCGATCTTGCACCCGAGCAGATCTTGTACCGACACCGGTCGAACTAGCTACAAGCTAACCTGAAGCTAACCCAAAGCTAATGCGGAGGTGGGAGCTAAGCTAACGGAGGTAGCAACCTAGCTACAACCGGAGTTAACTGTGCACAACACCAGAGCTTCTGAGTCAGAGGTACGCCGGGCTGACCGCTGGGTAAAACCGGGTGGAACACAGAGGTCTTCGAGACCTCCACAAGCCGGCAGCCGCACAGCAGACAAGCTCCGCTGCGATCTGAGATGTGCAGAGCTGCCGCTGGGGAGAACCGGGTGGAAAGGTTTCCATCCCAGAGCTCCACAAGCCGTCAGCCCGCGCAGCACACAGAAGCCTCGATCAGACAGAGATGCGCCGAGCTGCAGGGAGACCCAGCCATCAGCCCGCGCAGCAGACAGAAACCGCAATCAGACAGAGATGCACCGGGCTGCCCGGAGGGGAGAACCGGGTGGAAAACATGGGTCTCCCGAGAGCTCCACAAGCCGATAGTCGGAACCCAGCTCCACCAACATGTTATATTTCAACCCATTTTCTAAAGTGCAGCATAATGTTAAATGCACTGGGGTTTACCCTATTAAATTTAAATTTCATGGTTAAACAGTACATGTTAAAATCTAAGCTCAGCTCTGCAGTGACCTAAAATACATAAATATAATTTTACTTACCGAAAAAAATGAAGTGGAGACTCCTTGGACGCTCTATTAGTGCAATTAATGCCACAGCAAGTCATTTTGTCTAACAATTGCACTAAAAGTATCCAAAAAAGAATACACAAACACAGAGACTCAAAATCCCGGAGCAGTTTCCAAGCCAGACCGAGGCTCTACTGAGGCCTCTCCACGGAGCTAGCTCTGTGGTCACGTGGGTCGGATGCTCATTAATTATACAGAATTTTAGGCTTTTAATACACTTAAACAGAAGAGTGAGAGAAAAAATTCACCCCCTCCGAGCTGTCATGAGTGTAAACTAGATCATTTAAACCAAAAACATGTTTTGGTACCAGGCTGTAAACATGTTTATTTCTGCTGTGAAATTGGTATTTTTAACATGGGAGTCAATGAGGATTTGCTCGCTTCTGATACCAGCCCCCAGCGGATGAGGGTGGAACTGCAATTTTTGGTACTTCCGGGTTGAGACCAATTTTAGAGCCGCTTTGTGGGGGCTTGGTTGGGTCTTGCGTCTCTCAATTTTCTCTTCACAATATCCCACGGATTCTCTATGGGGTTCAGGTCAGGAAAGTTGGCAGGCCAATTGAGCACAGTAATACCATGGTCAGTAAACCATTTACCAGTGGTTTTGGCACTGTGACCAGGTGCCAGGTCACGCTGAAAAATGAAATCTTCATCTCCATAAAGCTTTTCAGCAGATGGAAGCATGAAGTGCTCCAAAATCTCCTGATAGCTAGCTGCATTGACCCTGCCCTTGATAAAACACAGTGGACCAACACCAGCAGCTGACATGGCACCCCAGACCATCACTGACTGTGGGGACTTGACACTGGACTTCAGGCATTTTGGAATTTCCCTCTGCCCAGTCTTCCTACAGACTCTGGCACCTTGATTTCTGAATTACATGCAAAATTTGCTTTCATCTGAAAAAAGTACTTCGGACCACTGAGCAACAGTCCAGTGCTGCTTCTCTGTAGCCCAGGTCAGGCGCTTCTGCCACTGTTTCTGGTTCAAAAGTGGCTTGTCCTGGAGAATGCAGTAACTGTAGCCCATTTCCTGCACACGCCTGTACGCGTTGGCTATGGATGTTTCTACTCCAGACTCAGTCCACTGCTTCTACAGGTCCCCCAAGGTCTGGAATCGGTCCTTCTCCACAATCTTCCTCAGGGTCCGGTCACCTCTTATCGTTGTGCAGCGTTTTCTGCCACACTTTTTACTTCCCACAGACTTTCCACTGAGGTGCCTTGATACAGCACTCTGGGAACAGCCCAAAAATTTCTTTGTGTGTCTTACCCTCTTGCTTGAGGGTGTCAATGATGGCCTTCTGGACAGCAGTCAGTTTGGCAGTCTTGCCCATGATTGCAGTTTTGAGTAATGAACCAGGCTGGGAGTTTTTAAAAGCCTCAGGAATCTTTTGCAGGTGTTAAGAGTTAATTAGTTGATTCAGATGATTAGGTTAGTAGCTCATTTAGAGAGCCTTTTCATTATATGCTAATTTTTTTAGAAGAATTTGGGGTTTTCATGAGCTGAATGCCAAAACCATCAATATTAGAAACAATTAAAGGCTTGAACTACTTCAGTAGTGTGTAATGAATCTAATATATATGAAAGTCTAATGTTTATCAGTACATTACAGAAAATAATGAACTTTAGCACAATATGCAAATTTTTCTGGAAGGACCTGTATTATATATATATATATATATATATATATATATATATATATATATATATATATATATATATATATATATATATATATAATATACACAGTGGTCATTTGAAATTGCATGGGGCTGTATGGGACAGGCTTAGCAAAAAAGAAAAAAAAACCTGTTGCCTGCTTTATATCACGGTAAGACTATCACTTTTATGGATTTCTAAAAAAACAATCATAAGTAATTCCTGAAAGGGGAATACAATGGATTGCTGCTTTAACCCAGATCTACTTCAAAATGTCTTAATTTTTTTCTTTTAATTTATTTCTTTTACTTAAATATCTATTTTCATTTTAAATTATATTTTTAATAAAGAATTTGGTTTAAGTTGCAAATCAGGCATGCTAAAGTCATCAAATGTGGTCTCTCACCTTGTAAAGGGTTGAAAAAAAGTCAAATAACAGCTTCAAAAAACATGATTTTTTTGGGTGGATTAAAGTCGTAATCATTGATGCGTTGTTCTGTCCTCACTCTCAGCCCTCCTCCCAAACGAATGTATGCCTTCTACCACAGCACTTACAATGGAAACACTACTGCATTTCCCAGGAATCTTCATCACTACAACAGGTTTCCCTCTCTATTCTTCTCATTATTATCATTAAAGGTAGGGTAGGAGTTTCTGAGAAAGCCATTCTAGTTCTTAACGTGTTGCACCTACATTACTGCATAACTAGGGATGTCCTTACACAACTTTTTCACTTCCGATACTAGGGATGTAAGAAAATATCGATTTGGCAATATAACGTGTGTCCCCCCCCCCCCCCCCCCCCCCCCAGCGATATTGTAGCAATATTCAAAAGCCGTGTATCAAAAATATTGATATCGCAATGTATCATATTTTTTCCTGCAATATTATATTGATGTTCAAAAGCCATGCATCTAATTTTTGGAAGAATTTACATGCAAACATTTTCTTTTCTTTTGATGCAATTCAAACGCTGACCACTAAGTGGCAGCAGTGTGCAATGGGTTTTGTTTCCACCATTGGAATGTAAACCCCTCTATTAAGGTTCAGATACCTCACGTTAAACATGTAAAGTATCAGTTTGGGCTGTTTATTGAATTTTCCTATAAATCAGTCTAAAAAAATTGCTAATGTTGTTTGAATGTATCGCAATATATCGTGATATATTGTATCTTCTCCCCTGTATCGTGATACGTATCGTATCGCCATACTTTCACTATACACATCCCTATCCGATACAATACCGATACTGCAGCCTTCAGTATTGACTGATACCAATCCGATATGAAATCAGCACAAATCATACAGACTTATACTTATTTCGTAGTGTGGAATTTATGAAAGGCTTAATCTAGTGATATTACTCAATCAGAGAACAAGAGCCAATAACAGTAAGTATGAAAAAAGGACAATTTCTTTTAACCATTGGTTGCAAAAATGTAAACCTTAACGGACTGCTTATATCAGAGATTTTTGATGCAGTCCGATATAATTCGATACAGTGTTTTTGGGCCGATATCGAATTCCTTCCGATATTGATATCGGAATGGGACATCCCTTTGTATAACAATGAAGTATGCTGGCTAATGTATGCTGGCTAATATAGTTAGCTCAGCTCTGTCACTTCCTCTTCAGCTGCTCTGAGCCAATTAGTGCACATAGAGGGGTATGGCAGAGCGAGGAGGGAAGGTCAGAAGAGCAGTGTGATGGATGGATCAGGATCCAGTCATTAAAGTTAATTGAGAAACTGTTTTTTACCTGATATTTTTTTAAATATGATCTTACACTTTGAGTTTAACATGCAGGCTAAATGTGAAAATAGTCTTCTACTATTTCCTGCATTAGCCGCCGATAGAAATTAGAGGGGGAAATGCTTAGGTGAGAAAAAGCCACACAGATCTACATCACACGGTAAAGTTAGCATACATGGACTCACCCATCTGGGCTCACGACGGGAAAGACTGTTGTTGATTTAGTATCCAGCAGAGAACAGAGCACATCTTGGCTAGTAGAAGCTAACTGTTAGCTTTAGCAACTCCACCAAACAGCAGAACTTCTTCAGGCTTGAGGTATTTGTGAAGACAAAACATCAACGTTGCAAAGAAAATGGAGTCAGTGGTAGAGTCGCTGTTAGCCAATCAGAGGCAAGATGTCTGAATATGAGGAAATGAGACTCCAAAACCTGCCGTCTGCCGCTCCCCTCTCCTCTGGCTCACTTCTAGTTTCTGAAACAGAAGCGCCAGTTTCCCCCACAAAGGTCGACTCATTCATTTAAACTAGAGACGACTGCAAATGTGTTGGGAAAAAAAAACGTGTGAAATTGGTCATTAAGAAAGTGACGTTCACTGTTATTGGAGGAGGATTTTCTGGGATGATTTCATTTATTGGTTGCCATCAGTGTGTGGAGAGCATTTCTAACAAATGGCAAAAAGGCTTCAGAAAATGACCTCTTACCCTTTCTTTAAAAAAGTCAAATTTAAATATCTGATAAACAAATTATTTATTTGTGTCTGAAAGAATAGTCACGATGGTGTAAACTGATTTATTTTCTTCCAGCACGGCAGACACCTGCAGACTTACACCAGCGTGCTTCCCTTATTCCTTTGACTCCAGTGGAAACCATCACCACCATCTCTACCAGCACCACCACCACCAGCACCAGCCAGGCCAGAAGCAGCTGGAGCCCCTCGTCCTGCGTGACGTCCCTCCCTATCAGGCCGGTGTGGGCGCGGGGGGAGGTGTTGGAGCAGGAGGCAGAGCAGGGATGGGGATGGGAGGGGGTGATGGGACTGTAGCCAGGAGCTGGGGAGGCGGGGAGGCGGTGAGGATCCTGGCGAGGCGTGTCACACCAGATGGGAAAGTGCAGTACCTGGTAGAGTGGGACAACGTGAGTTTGTACTGAAGCAGGAGGCACAGTGACTGTTGTGTATTTAATACGTGTTCAAAAAAAAAAAAAAGAAGCGTCCGTGTTCCAGATCCAGGTCCTCCTCAGTTCCACGCTCTAACCTCACTACTCGTGACTAAATGTGGTGTCCCTCTGATATTTGTACTGTTCCCTTTGGAAGATGCCTTTTACAGTGACACTATTTTAGCCTGCTGATGGTTTGTTTAAAGTCGGAGACGCATCATAGAACAAAACGTTGCTCAACATTAGAGAAGAAAACTCGTCTTTTTCCTTTTGCATCAGAAATGTTGCTTATTTTCCTGCTTTGCCATAAATATCCTAGAAAGAAGAATGTTTCTGTTAGATTCAGCAGGACACTTGGACTGAGTGGAAAATGAGAATAAAACTAAATCCTGTGGAAGTTTTATGATGACATGAGTTTATTCCAGGAAGAACGAATCCAAACTGTTTTTGACACCACGTCTTCAGCTCTTTTGTTCTTGCATTTAAAACAAAAGTCAAAACACTTTGTAAATGTTGATATTTACTCCTCTGATATGTAAAGGATGTTCTGGCATCGAGGGTCTGCAGTAGTTTGTTTTTCTGTCTCTGCAAACTCAAACGGGTCATGAGTCTGGTCCAGAACCTGTCTGGGCTTTGTGATGCCAGCAGAGCGTAGTTCTGATGGATGTCTCTGTTCCTGATGCAGGTGTGGCTTTAACCCTCCCACTGTCCTCATGGGTGACCCCGCGAGGAAAGTAGGATTGATGGTTTACCCCTTGAGATCCATGTGGCAGGGGTGAGGTGGTGCTCACTCCTCACCCCTGCCACATGAACCCAAGGGATTAACCATCAACCCTGCTCAATGGTCAACTCTCCTCGCGGGGTCACCCATTAGGACAGTGTGAGGGTTAAAGGCCCTGCTGTACTTTTCCTCATTAATGCTCTGTTCCAAGGTGGCACCATCACACATCTGGGCTCATGGACTTGTTTGTTTCTCACAACCATTTCTTCCCTCGTACATCTGGAATACGGATCTGTCCGACCACCTGAGGTTCTGATTCATCCCACATGAAGCCCAGAGAAGCTGGTGCCTGGGATTAGTGCTCTGGGTTTTAGAACAGTTTCCTGATGGTTCTGGATGTGACCACTTCCTTCATGGTCCTTTAAGAGATAAAACATACTAGTTACAAGTCACTGACCTAACTTTTTTATTACAATAATCAGAGGATTCAGAAAACTAAGGAAAAATGCTGTTCTGAATCTAAATGTGTCTAAAAGTTTAGCTGAGGGTTTCCTGATGAACAAAACTCTGCAGTCTGCCAGGAAGTAGTCTGTTCCATTCCTAAACATAGTCCGTGACCCTACCAGACCCTTTCTGAACTGCTCAGCTGTGTGCAGGAAGAGGAACAAAAAAAGCAGGAGCTCAATAAAACATAATTTAATTCGTACTAAAGCAGACGCCCATAAAGAATGAAAACAGATTCATAATCTTTTTCCCAAATTTGAACAAACAACAAAAGTGGCCATCGCTCAGGGCTTTAAGTGACTGTGTGTATTTTTCCTGGCGATCGTTGCACGCAAGCAGTATTTTTGTGTTGGAGGAAGATCTTACCAACGGATGCCCATTAGGGTCAAAAAGCCCTGGGGGGTGCTAACTTTAGCTAAATAACAAGCATATCAGAATCCCTTTCATCAATGGCAACAAGTGAAGAAGTAAACGTGTAAAACAACATTTAAGAATGGCGAACATTTTGTAACCATTTGTTACAAATCAGTAAATGCATTTTGTCCTCATGGGCTCCTGTAGAAGGAAACATGGCATCTAATATGGTGTCGCCCTGAGACTTAGGCCCAATCCCAACACTCACTGCGCCCTGCGGTTTTCAGCAAAGTGCACTTGGAGAAAGTGCGCAGTAGGGTTCGAGTGCGTAGTACACAAGTGTGCAAATAATTGCTGAATTGAGATGGAGCATTGCATCATCGATCGCAACGCATGCCAGGATGCTGGTCACTGTTATGCTTTTTTCAGAAAACTTTATTAACAACTTTCAAACAACAAAACAATAATTTAAATTAATTTAATTAAAATAATTTTTCATTGCTGCTTTGTCTAAAACATTCAGAGCATCAACTAGTTGTCCTAAAGTTAACTAATTTCACTAGAAAATACATATTTTCAGAAAAGGAACCTGAGCCTTTTCTCCTGCAGCGATGACTTGTGGGTGATACCCTTGCCCGAGGTCAGCATCGCTGCGGACTTGGGTGAAGTGCAGATTAATGGTGCAATGGGGGCGTGGTCAACTTCTGCACATGAGAATCGGGACACCCTACGCACTCGTTCCCCTGGCCGAGAATGCGCAATTGAAAGGCGTGAGGGTGCAAGTGCGAGTATTGGGATTGGGCCTTAGACCCGCTCCCATGTATTTTTGACCAGATTTTTATGGTTATATGATACAAAGCCTCCAATATTTCCCAACAACTGGCCATCATTTCATTCATTTTCAACAACGTTTTGATGGATATTTCCAGAGATTAATGGTAAAAAAAAAACTACACAGTCTCTTTATGTAGTGAATAAAAATAATACTGATTATTTAAAATGAGCACATCTCAGAATAATCGACCCAAAACTGTTTCATTCCTTTGTGCATCGAGTTCAGATTTATTTCCTTAAAAATGAGAACTTGTGAATTAAACTGCTGTTTTATTATTATTATTTAACTGCCTCTTCTGTATTTGTACACATTAAAATCAAACTGCTGATTGTAGAAGAACATTTATAACTTCAGTTAAATTACCTGGTGAAGAACTGATTTGTACATAAATTAAATGTTTTTACAATTATTGGTCCCATTTATTAGGATTATATCCAGGAACTCATTAAAGAACTGCTACTACAAACCATTTCTAGTAAAAAAAAAACATGATCCTCTATAATTATTACCATATATAGGGTTTTCCATCAGATTTTATTGGTTTTTATATCTGCAGCGTTTTAAGATTTAAGACCAACTGATTTTATATCCCTATGGAGGCTATTTTGTTTATTCTATAAATGAAACAAATTTATTCCCAAAATATTAAATCACTTTATTGACCTTTAACCTTTGGTGTGATTACATGAGTTAATTCAATGCTGATTGGCTGGTTTAACTGAATTAGCCAATCAAAAGATGAGACGCTTACAGTTTATGATGGACAGATGTGTGGAACAGAAGGCAGTTTGTTGTGTGACTGTATCAACCTAAATGTTTATAAAATTTAAACTTCCTCAAAAGTAATTTTTTATTGCATTGTTTCTTTGAGATTTAAGAGCTAAAATACTGTTTAAGTCTCAGAGTTTATATTTCTACTGCAGTTTATGTCTGAGGTAACAAGTCCAACTGTCAGTTTGATTCAAAATAATAAAGAAAACATGCAAAACATCAAATTAATGCATATGATTGTCTGATTTCTCTCCTCTGATTAAAAGTTAGATTTTGTGTTCTGTAGTTTTATTTTAGGATGATTGTGTTGAACCCCTATAGGTAGTGATGATTATGATGATGTGTGTGTGCGTGTGTGTGTTTGGTTCCACCAGGAACACTGACAGAACCAGTCTGACAGCATGAAGTAGGCTAAAGGATCTCAAAAAGCAAAACATAATGTTACTTTTTAAATAAATTCAAAAACAAGAAACCAGAAAATCCCTGCAGCCCTTCCCTGGTTCAAGTTAAGGTCATGATTGAACCCCTCTGATGATCCCAAAGACTTCTGGGTAAAAAGAGAACAAAGCAAAACTTTGTGGAAGGTGTGAGTCCTGTTCCATCTGGAGTCGAACTAAAACAGCAACAGTCACACTTGGTGGTCATGTGATGCTGCTTCAGGGCCACTTGCAGTAACATGGTATCTGGACAAAGTCCACCTATTCCTTTCTAAAAGATATTTTGAAGCCAAATGGGCGGTTCTCGCCACCGCCATCTTGGTCTTGCTGCATTCAATTCAATTCAGTTCAATTCAAAAATACTGTATTAATCCCAGAGGGAAATTGATTGCTGTAGTAGCTCATAATAATAACAATCAAGTCGTCAAAGAGTTGTTGTGTACTACAATGGCTGTTGGCAGGAAGGATCTCCAGTAGCGGTCAGTGTTGCAGTGAAACTGAAGAAGCCTCTGACTGAAGACACTCTTCCGTTGTCGGACAGTCTTGTGAAGAGAATGCTCAGGGTTGTCCATAATTTTATTGATTCTCTGGAGAATCCTTCTTTGCATTATCTCCTCCAGCGGTTCCGAAACTGCCGAAACTCTGGCTGAGTCCTTGAAAGGGCTTAGAGTTCTTCCATCTTGTTGGCCAGTGATGTCACATTGCCCATTATGATCAATGGAAGAGATGGTTTGAATTTCCTCTTTCTCTGTCTCCGTTTTGCTGCTGTTCTGCATCCATGCTTCTTGTGTTTTAGCTCATTTGGGATTTGTGGCTTCAGTTGAGGTATTTCAAACCAGACTGTTGCCATGGTTACGCATCATAACAAATGCTCAAAAAGTGAAAATAGCTTAAAAAAATAGCAGTAAAAATCCTCCAAGCTTCACAGCACCAGAAACAGAAAAGTAAAGTGTCCAAAAAAATACAGTTTTTCTTGAGAAACTAGAAGAAAAAATGCCCAAGAAAAGGCAAAACTTGCATATAGTCAACAGAGATAGTTCAACATGCAGCCGCCCAGAGCAGCGCAGTTCCGGATGTCTTGTCATGCCAATCCGTAAATAGAAAAAGATGTGGAGCTGTGAGGGTGGGAGCAAATGATTGACATCCATAAACGCTGAACCAATGTAGCTACGAGCTAACTGAGCTAACCCTCGAAGCTAACACTGAGGTTTTTGTTCGCTTTTAGTGAGAAAAACGCGGTTGAGCAAATCAAAAGTGAAGCAGCATAAACTCAAAGAGCTGCAGTGTTTCTGTGGTCTCCCTCAGAGAGCTCCGTGGGCGACCAACACGACTACATCCTCACATGGAAGCCAGGCGTAAGCCAACTGTTCGGGGCTAGGAGACAGGAGGAGCCAGGCTGTAACTGATGGAACCATGAATTCTGCTCTCTAAGAGAACATCTGACCTACAACCTTTAACAGAGCATTTATGCTGGAAAACCCTCCAATATGGCGGAAATCAGACGATTCTGTAAAGAAGAGCGAGACAACACTCCACAGCGAGGGGTTAGAGGTCAGGCTGGTCTGGGCAGAATTCTTTCCTCGTTTAATTAAAACTTCGTTAAAAAATGAAGTTTTATATTACTTATTCTAACTGAGGGGGGATGGTGCATCTAAACAAAGGTAGAAAATGATAAAGGAATTTGTTTTCTACATCTGTTCTACTTTGTATCAATGATTTTATTTTAAACTTCTCCCAAATCAGATGTTTAAAACTGGCCACGCGTTTAACAAAAATATCTTCTGCATCAGTTCAACAGTTGATTTAAAGCCTAAAATAAATGCAAATGAATGAAAAACTAAAAATCACACAGATTCATAAATTTTGTAAATGCAACTTTGTTCATTTTAAAGGTTTAAAATAGCAAGGCATTTAAAAAATTTAAA